TAAGCATAACCAGGTGCAGTAGTCACCTTGCCCGGTCACTGTTGATATCATGAGCCCGGTTCAGTTTTATTCCACGGCCCTCAAACTCGGTGTCGCTTTCTCTGAGATCACACGACGTGTTTGACATTCGGTCTGAAGCCGAAGGTGTGCACAGATGCCATCTGTTTGGTCAAGATACCGTCGTCAGCGAATGATGAAAGGATATCGGTAATGCATGTTGGAACGGGCGTGCAGGAAGCTGAAATCAGCACCTTGGGGTATATTGAAGAACACAGTGATGGGCAGAACATCAATTCAGTTTGCTCGTTGTTAACGTTCTTACCGGTAAGCTGGAATGTAAGGATGATGCGGGTATGAGATCGCAAGGAGTTGGTCAACAGCTAGGCCATCTCGTCTTCTCGACGCTCGCATTCGTCAACACTCGCCCATGAAAGGGAGCGATTCTAGACAAAGGGACGAATGTCAGACAAGGGAGCGTTTGGGGCGAATAGGGTTAAAGGGGAGATGGGTGGTACTGACCAGGGACCTCCGTGTAGGTTATTTGGCAGAACCATAAGAATTGAAATCATTTCATCGGATTTTGCACAGTCCTTGTAGAGTTGCCTGAAGGCATACCCGGGCCAACCTGGCAACTGTGCCTGAAATCAGTCAACGGCTGGCATTGGTTCGATAGTTCGTTCTGCCCAAGGCTCCAAGAGCCTGAGTTTTGAGAAGGGACTCCAGGGTGATCAAGAAGCTAGGGTGCGTCAAGGATCTTTCCATCGGTGAGCAGCGGCAAACTATTTACTTACCATTCGGGAGATAAAGGGCGCAGGGAGGGGAACGGTCAGCCCCTCGAAGAGATGGCAGGAAACGGAGGCATCGTGATCCGCGCTGAGACACGTTGAAGAAGAATCTGAATGATGAGATCGATCGCCGCGGACCGATGTTCAGTCGGTCGGGGAAACATCGATGCCGGCTTGAAAATGTTGCGGATTCCTCGCTAGCTCGGTGAATGACAGGGCTAGAGATCGCAGGTGTGTGAACTTGCCATCGCGGACGTGAGAAGCACGCTAGACGTCGCGAAGGGTGAGTGGCCCATACAGCTATCCCAAGTCTGATTTTGCTTTTGGCCGGCAGCGTCTGCCCAGGTGTACCAAGGTTGTCACAGAAGAGGTCTGAGAGACGTGTTGCGCCTGCTGGTGGCATGTCAGAGCGGACGTGAGCCACATGTCATGTCAGCCACCGGGAGCAGGGCTAGTCCATCCACGGATGACGAGGGTCAAGGGGCGGGTTGTCTTCCATTTGCGCCATGTTTGTCATGGCTATGGCGAAGGAGAGGTAGCGCTGAATTTGAACCGTCTTGGCGAAGAAAGGTGAAGACATAGTGAGGATGGCAACGAACCATCCCGAGGGGCTAGGGGCTAAAGGGACGAAAGCGAGATACCATAATGGGCAATTGCACCGTGTTGATTTGGAAAGAAGTTCAAGCAATTGTTCCATAGCAAGGTAGCATAGGGCATGAAGTAGCCCGTGTATAGTTGTGAGAAAAAGTCAATAGGCTAAACTGACTGAAGACGAGATGCGCCAAGGGCGGGTTGTGATAAAGTTGCGGGATGACAGATTAGTTTAGCATCGTGCCTGCACTAGTCGTGGATGATGGACTATGGTCGGGGAATAAGAGAGCCACCAGGAACAAGCACAGGCACGGGAAGGAAGCCGAAAACGAAGGTCAGAAAGAAAGCAATCAACCAACTTGATTAGGTAAAGTAGGACTGGTCCAAGCAGAGACAAGACTACTGCCATGCACAATTAAGCATATTTGCTTGATGACGCGGAGAAAACGTGTACATTGTGCACACACTTATACTTACTTAGACTTACATGTCCTCCGTACACACTTGCATCTACATGCTTCTACTACCTTGCCTGAATATGTAAGTATGTAAAGAATTACATGTACATCCATGTGCAGGACTCTTGGAGAGCCTATCAAGATTCGAGAGGGCGTTAGTTGGCTGTCCGCTGCCTCGGATGCCACGAGCTTAAACAGTCCAAGCTTTGCCTCTAAATTTGGGTCCCGTTTCAAGCTTCAAGCAGGGGGCCTCGGTACGTTGCTATCCTTGATTCACCTACAACCCCTGCCACGCTCACGCCTTGCTGAGGTGATGAGATCTGCTGCCCCCCTACTCCGTAGTCTCCTAGGTATTCTTCCCGCCGTAATTCTCCGAACACAAACGCTCGCGTCAGTCTCAGGCCGGGCCTGCTTCTCCGTGTCTTTGCGAATGCTGCTTGTCTTACGTTCTTACGCGCAGAGTCACACTAGCTCCCAGCCACCACGTTGAAGAAACAACTGTATCCCTCGCACGGCCTGACGTAACTCGGACGCTCTTCCGCTCTCTTTTGGTCACACGGCCACCTCAGGTCAGACTCATTATGGGAAAGGGGGAGCACTGACAACCACACTGATCTGTCTGTCATAACACACCACCCATTAGAAGGGGAGCCACAGACAGAGAGCCTGTCTACACCACTTCTGGTTGACATACAGCCCTCCAAGCCCGCTAGAAAGCTTCCATTGCTGCAGCCCGCGTTCTACCGTTTGCTCCTCGCGTTACTGCAGGCTACAACGGCGGGATCTTAAGTCGATCTCTCATGCAGTGCTTCGCTCGTTGTTCGTCACCTCGCAGCAACCTCATCAAGACAAGGTTTTCTGCTCACCATATACCCCTCCTTGATCCATAGAAACAGATAGTCGTACCATGGTGCCGACAGGCAAACCTTCCTTTCGCACCACTTGGGTGCATATCGCGGACGCACATCGCGGGTGATCGCCCGCCGGAGAAACACGAACACTCCAAAATCGCTGTCCTAGACTGCAGCGGCATCAGCAGATCTCATCTTAGGCTTACTCGAGCACTCCGAGACCGTGTCTCTCTTACTATTACTTACCCCGGATGTGGAGAGGGCTACCAGTCTTGACATGCATCCGGCGCCAACTAATCGAGCGTAAAACCACAATCACCGCAACCATGGCATGTCTCCGTAACCAAAGAAAAGTCCTTCTATCCGTACACACGGCCAGGGCAACGGCCGCACTTCCTGACTCCCAAACGTGGACCAGCGTTTCCGAGCCTGGACTCGGAGGCTCTCCAGGCCTGCTTCAGGGCTGAGGCGATACAAATCCTTACTACCAAGACTTTTAGCCAGGGGAAATAAACGGGTCCTCGAAGGCTTAGCGGACGGAGCTTAACGGTTGCCCATCGAGAGTCCCTGTGAACATCACGGTAGATACTCCATTCCATAGTGGTACCTAGACCACAGAAGATCTCCCCTTCGCCTCTGGCCTGGCGACTCCAGATCTTCCCTAGGTCCCAAGCATTCCAGTCCGATCACCGAAACCGTAAACCTCTTGGCTACCGTAAGAAGGCTGCATCAAGTTTCTGACTCTTGAACCAATCGGAACTCTGGTTGCCTCTTCTCGTGCGTCCCCTACACCTAAAAACCGACTTGCTGACTACAAGCCACGCGCGTGTTCCTGAGTTGGCAGAGTTCCAGAGTCCCTGAGTTGCTGTGTTCCTCTCACATCGTCACTCAAATCAACTTCAAGGCACAGCACGGCCATTCGTCGCCAAGACCTCCACTGAAACAGATTCGCGAGCAAAGATTCGCCAAGCTTCATGCACCCGAGAACCTAACTTCACATCCCAATAATCCCACACATCGTCCCTCGATGTCTCTCCCCCTCGAGCCTCGAGCGTCGAGCTAGCAACCCGGCAGCACATCGACACATCCTCGCGCATCCTCCACATCGCGAGCCCCTCGCCGCACATCCAAACTGCACATCACTCAAATCATTCCGTCTCCTAAACACGCCGTACACCACCAAACACGCGCGCGCGCGCGCAGCAACTACCTTACCAAGGGCAACGAGGCGCAGTAGCCCCAACCCATCCAAGCCTAGCAGCACCCCCAGGATCTGTATGTGGGCGGGTGGATTCTCGGGACGCTTCCACGTCTCTGTTTCTGGAAGACGAATCCAGCAACGTAGATGCGATTTGCTCTGAGCTGCCTCTTGGCGATCCGTTTGTGATGCTTCAACTTCTAAACCCCAGCCTCCTTCGTATCGCATGTCCACGCTTGCCGTCCAGTGACCCGCCTCCGACGTCGCCGTGGTCTTGTCGTCCCAACTTCACCTGGTTGAATCACGGTGAAGGGTTTTCACAATTCCAATTCCCTCGCGTTCAGCTGTGAAGTCAATCAAAGGACAGAATCCGAGATTTACACACCCCCAGCCAGCCCGCCCACGCCCCTCCTCTTGTTTCCCTATGCTGCTTGAGCCGACGCGATACCGAGCCATGCTTGAGGTTGACTTTGACTGACGGCTTCAAGGTCCTAGCCATTGGGAACACACTGACACTGACGAAGGGTTGCAGGGTGCAAGGTCTAATCGGGGATGCAAGGTAGGCCGGCAAGGGCGAGTCTATGTCTCTCCTTGCCGCTAATGTACCTCTGCGTATGTATGAGCGCGCATGTATGGGAAGAGGAGAAGGAGGTGAGGTTCAGCTGAGAACAGACCCTGGAACCTCATCGTATGCTTGCTTGCTTGCTTACCCACCCGCCTGGCCTTGCCTTGTCTCTGCCTGCACCGCACTGCTTCGTTGCTTTGCTTGCTACGACGGTGGCCCAGCATGGAACGATCTGATTCCGAACCTCCCACCCAAAATCCATCCCATCTCAACCCAAGGAATTTGTCAAATTCGTCTCCCCTGACCATGATATGGAATGCCAAGCAAGTCCAGTCAAGACCTTCTATATAACAGTCCCGTCCACACCATCATGTCTAACCTTTTTTCCTACCTCATCACACAGCATCAACAAAGCAAGCCTTTCACTTCTTCACCCTTTCCACTTTCCTTACCTATCTCAGCCCCGGTGGCTCTTCACGAATAGGATCTCTTAATCTCTAAAAACAACTCCGATTCACTCTAGTTTCCTCAAGCTCGAATCTCTCATTCAAAATGCGCTCCCAATCGCTCCTCGTCGCCGCCCTGGCTGCTACCGTCTCTGCCCACGGCACGCTGATGTCCGTCGAGGGCGCCAATGGCGTCACCATGCCCGGTCTCACCAGTAAGCTTTTACCACTTTCCTGAGCAACATGGTCTGCTCTTCCACACACCTACACACAAATAACTAACTCACTCACCTTTCAGTCGCTGATGGAACTCCCCGTGACTGCTCCTCCAACGGCTGCGGCTCTCAGGCCGACACTGCCATCATCCGTGACCGCGAGATCGCCTCCGGTGAGGTTGGCCCTCTTGGCCGCACTCAGGGCAACGGCCCCGTTGACGCCTCCGTGATGGTCAACAACTTCATGGGTGGTGCTGCCGCCCCCAAGAACAACGGCGCCGCATCTGGCACCGGTGTCGAGGACAACATCCCCAACATGAAGCGCGCCGAGCTCTACGCTCGCCAGGGTCTCGCCGGCCTCTTCGGCGGCGGTGGCAAGAACAAGGGTAACAAGCAGAACGGTCCCCCCGAGGCCCGCGTCGCCGCCACTGCTGGTATGGGTGCCTCCCAGGGCATGCCCACCGCCGCCGACGACGGCACCATCTCCATGACCTTCCGCCAGATCAACCAGGATGGCGCCGGTCCCATGACCGCCGATGTCGACGGCACCTCCGGCGGCACCAAGGAGGAGGCGTTCCAGAGCGCTCAGGTCACCACTGACGTCCCGGGCCTCGGCGTCCAGGGTCTGTCCCTCGCCACCAACACCGATTTCCCCATCAAGGTCCAGATGCCCGCTGGCATGACCTGCGACGGCACTGTCGGCATGGCCTCCAACGTCTGCGTCGTCCGTGTCCGCAACGGTGCTGGTGCCGGCCCCTTCGGTGGCTCTGCTGCCTTCACCCAGTCCGCCGCCGGCCGCAAGCGCGCCATTGCCTACCGTCTCAAGAAGCGCATGGAGCTCAACAACCGCGCATAAGCGGCTTGTCCAGCGATTCTTTGATGAGGATCTTCTCGGTGTGTCAAACCTGGGAGTTTGGAGGACCCGATCGACGCTGCAGGAAGTCAGGGACTTCTGAGGCTTGGTGGATTCCAGACTTGGGTATAGAGCTTTTTGGAAACGACCGTTCTTTATTTCCTACATACTATTTTTCTTATTAGGTCGTCATTTTTCCATAGGCAATTGACGCCGATCGGAGTTTGAAAAACTTCTTCTACACTCTCGCTGTGATGTGATCCTATGTGACAAGGTCAGCAAAGCAAACATCATAGTTCGTCAGCCTGACAGTCAGACCTCTGCGCCCATACTTCCATCACCCGACAAAACAGATGCTTAAAGTTGAACAGACAAAATGACCCGAGGATACTAATCAGGCAATACTTGGAGGCAAATGCTGCCCTCGTCCGAAGCTGAATAGACTTCTGTTGCACAGGCCATATCCCTTTTGCTCGGTCTTGCAATGACTTGACACCGGACTTGTGTCAGGCGGGCAGGAAACTAAACACTTTTGACCAATAGCGGCGGAGGAAACATTGCGATTCTTTTGTGAATTTGATCATGGCCTGGCCATTCGCATGCCTCTCTCGGCCATACATCCACTGGAGAAAAAAAAAAGAGATGGACGGAGGGTGTCTATTGCTTGCAAGAAACGAGATGGTTGTCAATCATTCAACGAGTATTCTACCCACATGACGCCCTTCCCCAGGCCGAAGATCCAATCCTCGGCCGCCAGGTTCACTCCATCCCAACGCCGGATTTTGATGCTATGCTGCCAGACTGTTATGTATTATAGCGGTACCTCTATGTTTAGGCTGCTGCCGTTTAAAGTGTAGCGATGCGAACATTTGCGCAGAAAGTGTCTGCGTTGTTTACGGGTAGAGCATTGCTGCTACGCCCAGATGTTATGCTTTTGCTGAATCATGAAAGTGCGTCCTTATGGACGGGAGCTGAGGAGAAAATCACCATCGGCGACTTCGATGTCGGGTTAGTGAAAGAGGGAAAATAAAAAGGAAACGATAGACCTTGAAAGAAGACTTACCTGTAAGCCGAATCAACCTTGGTGACGCGCTTACGCATCTTCATTCCTTCCGGCTTGCCATCTCGGTCTGCCTTGGATTTGGGGGCAATGCCGAGGAGCTCGGCCTCTAGTGCAGATAGTTCCGATGCATCAGAACCAAAGGACGCTACAGAGTGCCTAGAAGCTGGACGTGATTCATCATGGCTGCTGTGAGATCCACGGCGGCGGGAGCGGCGAGAACGAGATCGGGATCGAGACGCCTGTCGACTATGTGGCCGACTGTCTGGTCGCGATGTTCCGCGATGAAGCATAGGTGGCGATGCCCCCCTTTCCTGGAAATCGTTGGTCGATGTCTGTCTGCGAACATTCCGAGAGCTGTAGTATCCAGAATCCTGGAGACCCGCGTCTTCAAATCGCCTTGATGGGCCGGCGTCTTGAGACTCGTCCAAGGACATGAGGAGCGTATGGCCTGGATCGGAATCAGTGCGTTCTGGTCTTTGGTGACGATAGCGATCCGTCGGTCTCGAGTCCTCCCTGGATCTAGAATTGTGCGGTGAGGTGGCATTATAGCCGGGAAGCGAGTCAACTTTGTGCCTCTTGTGACGATGATCCGCCCATTCGCCACCTTCTGGGACGCCCCTGGCTCGAGAGTTCTTGTATGTTGAATCGTCCAAAGTCCGCTTTCGATTATTGACCAGACGGTATTCACGGTTTTCTGGAGTAGGAGGTTTCGGAGGGAGAGACGGAAACCCTGGAAGGCGACTGGACTTGAACGTGCTGGGCCTCTCTCGGGGCTCAGGGGGTTGTTTTGGAGCACTACCCTCAGGGCACTTCCAGAAAGCTGGGTCGTACTGCAATGTGACGAAGAACTCGGTTTCTCGTATCGGCCGCGAGAATTCCATGAGGTTGCCTTCTGTTGCAAATTGAGACTGAATCCAAGTGGCGTTCCACGCCGGAGGCAACACAATATTATCGTGGTATTCCTCAGGCCCCGGTAACGGCTTGGCAATCGGGTCTGGTTGGTGAGTTTTCTCTAGTTCTTTGAAGATCATCTCTTCTTCCCAGTTCCAATCGTATTCTTCATCAGCTTCCTGTTCTGAAGCACTGTTGATGTTTACGCTTTTAGGTGTATCGCTCGCGACTGATGGCGCCTCGACGACGACCTTTGATCCGGCTTCGAGCTGTGGCAGTATTGGCCCTGGCCTGGCTTTATTTTCCGACTTTGGTCTAGGCTGTGAAGGATCTCGTTTCGACTGATTGCCTTGTTTATTTCGGCGAGGACGATCTCGATTATTATGCCCTTGGCGATGTCGCCCATTCCGGTCTCTTGGCGGCTGGTTCCTCGCAGGAGGAATTGGCGGGAGCCCCGGTGGTGTAGCACGTGGAGGGCCAGGCAAAGGAGGCGGGTGACCATATCCTGGAGGTGGCGGCGCCCATGAGGGAGGGTAAGCACTCGGTGTTGGGGGCGGTTGAGACCCATAGTGCGGCTGAGGATAGCCTCCCGGAGGTGTTGAATTATATGAGGGCGGGTACTGGCCGCCTGAAGGTGGAGGACCGGAGTGATATCCAGGGCTAGAAGAGTAAGATGGGGGAGGAGGAGGAGGGTACGGAGCACTCCCAGCGTATTGTGGTGGTGGTGGTGGTTGATAAGGAGGAGGCGGCAGTCCAGACGGACCGGGAGGCGGAGGCGCGCCATACTGGCCAGATGGTGGATAATGGTAGGGTGCAGGAGGAGCGGGAGGTGGTGGGTGGGCACCCGGGGGAGGCGGCGGCGGCGGGGAATATTGGGAATAGCCGGGGTAGTTCCCTGTCGGCGGGGGAGAGTAGGCATTCGGAGGTGGAGGATATGAAGGATAGGAAGGCAGGGGGCCGGGGTACGGAGGAGCATGGGGTTGACCCGGGGGCGGAGCGTAGCGAGTGACGATCGGATTGCCGCTTGGTGGGGCCGAGTACTTGGTCACAACAGCACCCGGCCGGCGTCCGCCGTGTTGATATTCACCACTCCGGCCATGATGATCATGGCCACTCGAAGTATTTTTCCGGGACAGTCCACTTTGGTCGAGTCAGTCATGGTTCAAACTTGAAGCAAGGGACAGTTGTTGTCACGTCCGACAAGATTCTGCATCACAAAACTTACGCGGGCTTCGCTCTGACAGGTTCCGGGCAAGCTACGGCCCAATGGCCAACGCCGCCACAATTGATGCAGCTTGGCTCTTTCATGGACGGCCCCATTCCTGGCGCGTGGTCGGCCATGGCTGATGATGGTCGTGTCTTGGCTCTTGGGTCGACGTACAGCTTTGGCCCAGGCCCAGAAGGGGAGATCAATAAGAGTGTAGGGAGTGTACCGCGACCAAGGTAACGAGACACTGGATAGCATCTATGAGCCGGGAGTGGCCCAGTAAGAAAACAAAAAGTAGAGAAGGGTAGAAGTGTTGGTATACTATTAGCAGAAATAGTTCGGATGAGGTTGCCAACAGGAGCTGAATAAGAGAAGACTTGATATATCAGAAGGTGCTCGGCAAAGAGGGAGAAGGAGAGTCAGAGACGCAAACCTTGGTGTTCGCGCTGCGCTTACAGCAGGTGAAGGAGATGCTTGATAACGGCCGACCCCAGACCATGTAGTGGCGGATATGAGAGATGGTCTCTTGATTTGACTGAGACACGAGATGGCAGGCAGTCTATTGATCAAGGTGACGATGCCTCGGAGCCTTCAAATGTCTCTCTCTAGCGGATGCGCCTAGGCAGTCTGGAGTGGCGCATCGCCTGTTGATGGCCAGAGTATGGGGGGAACGGTGAGATGGGCTGGTAATGAAAGCCGTAGCCCGACCTCCAAAGTGAGGAATCTTGATGGCGAGGCCCAAACCAGGCGACTATCGTGGGCTTTGTCTCATTCCAGAGAGGGCAACTGGGATGAGGTTGTGGGAAAGCGCGACGAAGTTGACCAAAGGACGGAGGTTGCGCGCCCAGGCTCAGGCGTAAAGTGGGGCAAATGCACCTGCCCAGTGAGGCACAGCTGAACACCCACGGCAACTCCTTCCGCGCGGAAGGCTGAAAGGGGCCGGAAATTCATCGGGCCGGAGGGGGGGGGCATGCTTTCTTTTAGGACAGGAAAGGGCAGCAGGAGACACGGTCCAGCCAGATTCAGACTCGAGAACATTGGGAAGAGGCAGTACCTAAGTAAGGTAGCTGACAGACAATGCAGCTTGATTATTGCTGCATGTCATATGGATGCATGTCTTGTGCCTGCAGCATCAAAGACCACACGGCTGGTATGTCATGCACAAGCAGTGAAGCACGCACTGTCTTTGTGCATCTAGATCATCTGAGAAACTAGGATCCAGAGGGGCAATATCTGACGACATGACAAGTCTCCTGGGACATCAGGGACTGGTTTTGTCTTCAAGTCTCGAGGTTGTCATGAGCCAGATCTTGAGGAGCTCGCATCTGCTGTCATTGGGCTAGATTGGCAGACCATGATGCTATGCCATGCCATGATCAAGGGCAGTTTGGAGCTGTTCGAGCGAGGCTTGAAAAGGTAGAGATTACGAATATCTCAACTGGGACCATCTAGATGCTACTCCATCGCGCAGACGCAGGCGCAGGGCATCTGAGTTCAACCAGGAGCAAGACGAGACAGACGGTCAAGACAGAAAATGAAAGAAAGGCTAGGTATTCTAGATTCAAATAGAGACCAAGGTGAATAGACGGGCGTGGCATTCAAGAAGACCAGCTGGCAGACCAGAGAGATGTCGGTTGCCTGGGAACTTTGAGGGAAAACCAAGGTTGGTGAAGGGAAAGTGTGGCTGCTTTTTCTATGACGATCCAGATATCAGGTGCAGTTTGAACCCTGGAGACGGTGAGGAATTGATCTGAACGAACGGGGTCGGCAGCCCAGCATCTCTCAGTGAGTGAATAATAGACGCGTCTGAAAACAACCAAGGAAATAAAGTATCGAACTACAGTCCACTGCCGGGGCTCGCAATAGCAACCAAGATTCTGTTTGTCTCTCTGGAAATCGCAGACCAAAAGCTGCTGCTGGCGGAGGAAAATGACAATGAACGGGGAAACTCGTCGGGCCGGTGGAAGCGGGACGACCTGAGTACCATCAGTTTGGTAGTGGAGGTGATTTGTACGGACGCAACTGCGTGAGGTGAGGAAAAGAAAAGGGCGCACCCGCCATGTCAAACCAGACGGAGGGGGGGGGAAGGTGACTTTATATGAGCCCAGGGCAGCCATTGATGGACGCGCCCCCTGCTGACCTAGCAAGTCGGGGCTTCCTTGGCCAGTAGTGGCCCTGCTGCCCATTCATCATCTTGCGCCGTGGTGCAGTCCCAGCGCTTCTGCAGCGTTTTGCTAGGGGCTTGTAGCGAACGACAACCCCCTAAATTGTTCGATGTTTACGTAAGCGCCTCGAGCCTGCCGTGTCTGCCCACTGCCAGGTTTGAATGCGGGGCCTTAGTATATGGCCGCGCCCAATTACATCCCGTCTTCCATGCCACTCTGCCTTAGGTAAGCACACGGAAAAGGTACGTGAGCAGGTGAAGTGTCTGATGTTTGGATGGGATTTCTCAGCCGGGCCCGAGCTTGCCCCCCAGCTGCTTCCAATTTGAGATGGGCGTCGTCTGTCCATTGCAGCACAGCATGACGTCCCTCGCTGCCCGCCGTAAGAGCTACCACCCATCCATTCCAAAAAAGAATGTTCAACTGCGACTGAAGAACAAGGTACCTTACCTTGCCTTGCCTTGGGCAGCTTACCTCACCACGCTCTCTTTACGAGGGCATCGCCACGGCTTCCCTTCGTTCTCTTCCTCTCTTGTGCTATGAGCGACTGTGTTCTTTGAGCCACCGGTCCTATTTGACGATTCAAAGCCCACCCAACACAGGCGTGCACTATTACCTCCCCCACCCCATATCTTTCGTCGATTCAGCCTGCGCTTCAACTCGTCCACTTTGTCCATTCTGCCGCCGCGCGCTTCCTGCTCCCATGTAAAGACACGTCGTCCTCGATCATGTTACTACAACCACGAAGCTCCCCAGTACACATTGCCCGCCTCTTGAGTAGAAGTGGTCTCCGACGACCTGCTTCTTGAACCGCCGACCTTTGCGACAACCCTTCGCTGTAGTCCTGCTACACCTTTTCCACCCCAAAATCAACTAGATACCACCGGCCTCACAGCTGCTGTCGCATACCACTACGTCAAAGATGCCTGGGCTCCCAGGTAGGAATTGCTCTTGTCCCCCAGGTTATGCACTTCCTCTGACCACTTTGTGCTACTACAGCTTCCGTCGACCTCGACGAGTGCATCTCACGCTTGTACAAGAGGGAACTTCTCGCCGAATCCGTCATCGAGGCCATTTGCGCCAAAACGAAAGAGCTGCTGATGCGCGAGAGCAACGTCGTTCACGTTCGCGCCCCCGTTACCGTCGTCGGCGATATCCATGGCCAATTCTACGACCTGATCGAGATCTTCAAGATTGGTGGATGGTGCCCAGACACCAACTACTTGTTTCTGGGTAGGTACGCTTTGGACCAAACGTTGGTAATGCAAAGGCTGACTGACTGGCTGCCCAACAGGAGACTACGTCGACCGCGGTATGTTCAGTGTCGAAACGATATCTTTGCTTGTGTGCTTGAAACTTCGATACCCCAATCGCGTGCATTTGATTCGAGGCAACCATGAGTCTCGCGGCGTCACCCAGTCCTATGGCTTCTATACCGAATGTTCAAGAAAATACGGAAACGCCAACGTGTGGCACTACTTTACCGACATGTTCGACTTTCTGACTTTGAGCGTGGTCATCAACGACAAGATCTTCTGCGTCCACGGCGGTAAGACAGCCTACATCTCCACGCGCCCGCCTTCGCCGTTACCTACCGGTTTCGACAGTTTGCTGATTTGTATGCTCCAGGCCTCTCCCCATCCATTCACTCCATCGACCAAATCGTAATCATCGACCGTTTCCGCGAGATTCCTCACGAAGGCCCCATGGCCGACCTGGTCTGGTCTGACCCCGATCCCGAGCGCGACGAGTTCTCCCTCAGTCCACGTGGAGCTGGCTATACCTTTGGCGCGCAAGTGGTCAAGAAATTCTTGGCTGTAAACAATATGGACCACATCCTGAGAGCACACCAGCTATGCCAGGAGGGCTTCCAAGTTCTATACGACGATCGCTTGAGTACAGTATGGAGTGCGCCCAACTACTGCTACCGATGTGGAAATATGGCTAGTGTTCTGGAGGTCAGCGATACCGGCGAGAGGTTTTTCAACGTCTTTGCTGCAGCACCAGAGAATGACCAGCATAAAGACATGCAGCTGGGTGGTGGAGAGAAGCAGGCAGATGGCAACTCCCTTCCCGATTACTTCCTGTAATGCGCGGCTGGAGTCTGCATTTGGTGCCTAGACGATCTTAGAAGGGGATGATGTATACAGGAGCAAGAAAATGGCGTGTGGTCTGAGCCCAGTATCCAGATGCATCACCAAGCTGTTCTTATAAAAGGTCATTATCAGAATGGCCAGGTGGACGAGACCACCACGATTAGAGTACATTGAGAAGATGTCACGTCTTACGCCTCACGCCACGGGACGACTTATAGACGAACATTTGATGAGGATCCAACGGGATCTGTATTTTTGGTAGCTTGGGCACAAGAGATGATGGCCCGGCAGAACGAAAAAAGTATCTGCCATCTAAACCGTCCAATTTTTGTTTTTGTTTTTTGTAATCGTGACTTCATGTGCAATAACCAGTGTATGAGGTTGAGAGCAAAATTTGTGTGGGTGTGTATGTGTGTGTTGTATAGCAAGAGAAGAAAAGGGGAATTTCCATCGGCCTCGCTCATCACCCATGTTTCCTGCGTGTTGGCCGCGACCTAGTTTGACCTTTTGTAATTCTATTCGTGTTGGGAATGAGCGAGTGAGATGTTGTCCTGCATGCCTGCCTCGAGTTCCACCACATATATCCTCCTACCCGTGATCGGGTTCGATTCTGCTGACGCATGCGTTCGTTCTCCTTCCGGTAAAGGGGTCGAGTCCGGGAGGCCAAGTTGTAGATGAGAGAGACAGGACAGCATTTCGGGTCGATGAGGATGACGACAGGACGAGGGGGTAATTCAGCCATCGGGGGCTCGTCCACTCTACCAGTCCTTGGCGATGTCGAAAGACCACTCAAAGGTCAAGTGAGTCTTCTTGTCGTCATCGACGAAGCTGGAAATGGCGTTGTAGTGACCTCTGGCGAGCATGCCGGAGGGAGCGTCCTCCTCTTGGACTGCGCAAAGGGTCAGTATTACTACATCAAGCGACACTGCTTCAGAAGCGAAACTTACAGCGCTTGGTATAAGTGGTCTGCTTGTCGGTGTTGGGAGCGTAGCTGCCCTAGAGATAACAGTCAGCATCACTGTAATGAGATGAAAGTGAGGGGAGGGAAGACTTACCAGCATCTCAGAGTCCTTGCTGACCTTGATTCCCTTGCGCTTGACGACCTGGACGTACTGCAGACCGCTAAGAATCTCGTGCTGGACCTTGAACTTGGCAACCATGGTGAACTTGGCGCCCTCCTTAATCTTGAAGGGCTTATCCTTGAGGGTCGCCTCAGAGCCAGGAGCAGCCAGGTCAATGGTGACGGGGTCGCGACCGGGAGACTCCATGGTCAGGGAGAGGATGATGCAGACACGGGGGTCAGAAGCGTCAGAGAGGTCCTTGCCGCCGCCAAGGCCGAGAGACTCCTTGTAGCGCTGGAGAGACTCATCGTTCTCGTCTGTAGTGCTGTTAGTCGGCTGGTCATCTCTCATCTCGTATTGTTCCAGATCCAAGGGCTCAAGAACAGCCAGGCCATGTGCTGCCCTAACAACAAGGGGAGACATATAAAAGTCCCGAATCAAGTTGGGATCTTGGGTGAGCATGTTTTCTTGGAGGCGGGGTGAGTTGGGAGGATTGGGAGGAACAGGGTGTGATAGAGCTCTTGCTCGGTGAAGGTGTCTCTCCTCCATCATCTTAAATGACTGAGGACGCGATCCCGAGGGAGTTGAGAGAGGAGCAGGGGGAAGCTCAATAGAGTTCCGGTTAGCGAGGGCGTTATTGCGGTTGCGCCTCTGCATCATGCGACGCATACCCTCATATAACGCCTCCATGGTAGTGAGAGGATATTACATGTGAGGTGTCTGTGGTATTGATATCGTAGTGATAATACGGAGAAAGTGAAGATCGCGATTGGTGACGGTGACGGTGGTAGCGATGATGGAAAAAAGTGGTTGAAAGGCAGTGAGGGTGAAGGTGAAGGTGAGTGAAGTGCGAGAATGAGTGTGAGAACGGGTGTGGGCGTGGGAGTGGGCGTGGGTGAGGAAGGTGCAAGCAGCTGGGTGCCTTCCCTCTCCTGCTGGTTCTTTGGTGAACTGTGCCATGAGATGGATGTCGAGCATGCCATCTCCTGTCACCGAGGTGAGTGCAGAGATGGGAGAGGTTCACATCTTGCACACACCGATCCTAAGGCAAGGTGAAGGAAGGTGTGTGAGGGGCATTTCTGGAGGGACCCAGCTGGAGCTATCCCGCCCCCAAAACAGCAGCACCCAGAACTGAAAGAAACCAAATGGGGAGCAAGAATCAATACAGAGTCAAAGACTTACCCATCTTCTGGTACTCGGCCAGACTCTGCTTGGGCTGGGAGAGCTTGTAGCCCTGAGTCTCCTCGGGCATGGTGTCCTCTTGCTCGTGGGAAGCCATGGTGATGATGGATGGTGATGGTGGGGTAAATGTGGGAGCTGGAGCTGGAGCTGAAGCTTGAGCTGTGGAAGCTTGGTTTGAGAGCGGGTGTATCGGAGGCTATGGGCGGAAAGTAGCACAGGTGTGTGATGAGGCCGTAAATTGGAAGGCTGTGACAATGTTTACTCTGGAGGAGAGAAGTTGAGGATCAGAAAGGATAGTAGTAAGGTCAGGGCGAATGGAGTTGAGGTAAGGCCATGGCTTGTCCCCGGCCAGTCAAGACGAGGCAAGCAGCAAAGCAGCAGCGCACGGCAAAGGTCACCGCTTCCCGTTGCCCCTCATTCTGCTCAGGTCTGGCTGGGTCTGGGAGTCTGGGTCTGCCTTCTTCCCAGTCAGTGCCAGCCAAAAATCGACGACGAGGCAGGGGGGGCATTGGGGGGAAGCGTCACCGCGTCAGGGCCAATTGAGGGACTGTGGGCGCTGTAAAGTGGGCTCTGATGGATTCAGGACCGGCCTTGACTGGACGAGACGAGAGACTTCATTGGTCGAAATATCTTTGGATCTGGACCTGCATTGATTGGCCAACATCTGGAACAAGATGGAACTTCACACACGAAACCAGGCACCATCACCAAAGCCCTCCTATCATCCTATGTACTCCGTATCTCCTCCCCTTTCAATTACGTTAGGTAGTCAGAGCATAGGCAACTGTATAGCAAAGCAGCATCATCAGTCAGCACAAAGATTCAACCTCTTTGAATGGAATCTTGCTGCTGCCCCTCGATGACTATCATGCCGTGCGACCTTACCGTTCCACATTGCCCAAGCCAAGTACCCCAGGAGAGCCAAGTAGCTGTGTAGGTACTTGGATACCTAGATACAAATACCTAGGTTGTTATGCAGCTTTCTGCCCCTCCAAGTGTCTTCTGCAGCCAATCTCGATACGGGATGGGAGGATAGGTACCTAAGAGGAGAGCATCCATCCATATCAACCACGATTCTGCGTGTATCGGCTGGATGAGCGGTCTGGAATGGTTCCTGATGAGGGGCACAATCGACAAGCTTCAGAAATCCAGTGCTCCCCACTGCTCAAGACGGGAGACCGCAAAGAAAGTACAGAACGAACGTCCACTTACTTCATCCCGCGCCCCTTTGCTTGAATACCTTGTAAGCATTCGCACCACGCAATGTGAGAATATCGTCTAGTAAGTCCGCGCTTGACAGGTGGCAGATGCTTCATGCGGGCCATCCATGAAAATGAGCTATCCGCACTACGTACTCCGTAGTGCGCCAGTGTTGAAGAGCTTTCTTGCTGGCAGCGGCATCGTTGCCGGAGGCCAGAGCTTCTCTTTAGTGGATCTTGTCGCTTGTTTGCATTATTATGACCCGTGGGATTTTTATGCACATAAGAGCCCCGTATATGTATGCAGTACTCACATTGCGGCTTATGTAATGGGTACCAAGACTGAACCGATCTCATCGGCATTCAGGCCATCTTAAAGATAAGGAAGCATCACCCGTTTCCAAGCTCCAGCTTCTCACGGTTGCGTGGTTCTGAATAAGTCTCTGGCCGGTAAGCCATCCAAAATCTCAGTAACAAGAACGTCGTGTATCAACAAGCCTGGCACTGTTGCGTTGCTCTGGCAGCAGTGTCCTATTGTACTTGGCTCCTGGATCCGTCTTTCTTGCTGTTCAGCCTAGGCGAGATGAGGAACTCTAGAGGCTGACCATCGGCCTCATTTGTCTTAGGCACCTGGCGACAGAAAAGATGGACTTCCTGTTGTGTCAACCGAACCCAGGACTTTCATGAGCGAGCACTATTGCCTTATCGATTAGACTGCAGCTGCTGCAGCTAATACTGTAGGTAGATACTGCAATGCACGGGATGGGGGAAACGTGGTCGAATGATGGGCTGAAGGCGGGATAGCTGCAGTTCGCCCGTTGCCAGGCACAATCGTAGCCGGGTGCGGGCCCCCCGCGCTGCGTGCTCTGGTGCTGCCGCCGCCGCCGCTTTCAGTCTCGGTGCAAGGAAAGGATGTCGGGCAAGTCGAAAGGGGGGATATCCCTGCATGACATGCTGGAGAAGAAGTACGGACACAGTACTCAGTACTCCGTACCTTGGTGAGAAGGGAGAAGAGACACTGGACCCTTCTTGAGCTTGAAGAAGCCTGTGGCCTGTGGCTCGTTTGTCTCCGCTTGGCTGGAGACTGCGAACGGCGCCCAGGGTGTCCAAAGCTTTGCGCGTTCGCGACGAGAATTGTTGGGGACTGACTGACTGGGGGGGGGCAGACTGAAGAGCTTCTCTGAGGAAACGTGTGCTCACTGGGAGTCTGGGACAGAAAAGTGTCAAAATCTCAACTTTCTCTCGGCTTGGCTTAAGAAGCGACATGGGTCACGCAACGGGTAAAGGCAAAGAAGGAAGGGACCGTCGCATCGATAATCTTCCTTCCCTCCTTCCTCAGGAGTCAGGGACTTTCCTTCCGACTTTGCGCAGCTGGCAGGATGTATCGATGTATCCGTTCTTAGGTACTGCATTTCCGGGGAAAGCGCCGGGAGTGCTGGTCGTCAAATGCGGCAAGTGGCAGTCGCGATAGACAGGTACATCTCCTCTGGTATCATAGCCATACATAACAAAGGTGGCCATCTATGTCGCATACCTGGCTCCAATAGTGCCTTTTACGTGCTCTTCGACCTTCAGGCTTCTCCCGCGTCAGGGTCACGCCGTCACGCTTCGCTTTCCGAACCCGCAGTTCCACCCCTCCCTCCAATCTTACCCAATGAGCAGGAGGACCCCCAAAGTTTGAGGTGAAGCTCTCTTTCTCTCACTGTTCTACCTTAAGGTACTGCAGCTGCTGCCACTGATCGAGACTCGAGTGGTGAGGTACCTACCGTACTGCTCCAATTTGCGCGCGCAAAAGTCGCCCAGCTTCAGGCTCTTTCCGTCCCGGGGCCGCCTCTCTTCCTTCCATTTCCTCTCCTGTCCTCCTCCTCACAAGTCACCACCACCACCACCTCTCTCTCTCATCCCGCGACTCGTCCCTCCTTCTTTCCTTCACACCACCACTACCACACCTCACTCTCTCACACACATTCCCTCCACATCTTCTTTCTTCCCCTCGATCCATCCTTTGAGACAGCTTTGCCCTTTGTGCCTGTGCCCTTATCGGGATCGCTGTTCCCATTGCCTACAATCAATTATAATCTTTTTTTTCTTCATCAACCGCATCGCCAAACCCACCCCTGCACCCTTTTTTTACGCGACAGACCCGTCACGTCACGTCGGCGCTCCGAGGATCCAACTCCATCGCCAGCTCCCGTCAGCTCCAACGAGTCTTCGGTAAGCGACACCTACCACACACCTCACCATCATTCTCTTCTTTGCGCGCCGCCTCTGCGCTTCTACCTGCCCTCAAGCTGACGCGACGATTTAGTCCCTTTCTCCGATCGAGCTCATCGTCGACGCGACCTGGAAGACACCACTCCTCGATTGCCGCCAGCGCGCATCGCAAACTTCCTTTGAACGTACCCAATTTAATCGCCAATTTTGCGCGCTCCGTCCCACACTTCCGAAATGCCTTCTGCTACAGCTCACGAGCGGCACCTGCCCGCAAAGCGCAACACCCTCATGACTGAGGATGTGCCTCGTTGTACGAACAATTGACTGCGCCTAGCACTTTGTGCTTGCTAACCAGACTCTAGACGATGACCTCGTAGCCCGTCGTCGACTCGGTCAGACTCAGCTGACGGCCAAGATGGTCAACCTGGCCGAAGGGGAAGGCGCTGCTCTCGGTGTCTTCGACTATGCCCACCTCCGCGCTCCCTTGCCCAAGGGTATCGTCTCTGGCATCTTCAAGTCCAGCCCCAACAGCTACTTCTTGATGCGACGCAGCCACGATGGCTTTGTTTCTGCGACAGGAATGTTCAAGGCCACCTTCCCTTACGCCGAGGCCGCCGAGGAAGAGGCCGAACGCAAGTACATCAAGTCGCTCGCTTCTACCAGCCCCGAGGAGACTGCCGGCAACGTCTGGATTCCTCCAGACCACGCGTTGGCGCTGGCTGAGGAGTACGGCGTTGGGCCTTGGATCCGCGCCCTGCTGGATCCCGCGACTATTGCCGTTTCCAACACCCCTGATAGCCCTCCCAAGAAGATTACGGCGCCCCCCAAGTACGAGCTCCTCAAGGCTCACCCTCAGCTTGCTCCTCCTACCCCGACTTCCCTCCCTCGCAGCACTCGATCTCGCCGCTCAGCAAGCCCTACCAAGGCCGCCGCTGCCACGACGCTCCCTAGACCTGTCCGATCGCCCAGGAAGCGCAGGGCCAAGGCTGACTCTGTTGAGCCCAGAGAATCTACGCCCACAATTGCCACGAAGCTGGAAGTCAATGGCGTAATTGAAGAGGACAAGGACGCCGAAGCGGACATCAAGACCATTGTCAAGACTGTCGAGACGGAACCAGTGCTTGTATTCGAGGCTAGGGAAGAAGAGCTCAAGGCCAAGGTCATTGTTGACCAAGCTATCAAGACGGATGAGGACGGCAACGAGACCAAGCACACTGCCGTGTCACTAGAGCTTCCTCTGTTGAGCGCAGAGCCACCATCTGCTGAGGAGACTGCGCGTATGATTGCGGAGGCGAAGCAAATGGTCGAGGCGGCCGCCATCAAGTCAGAAGGCGTTGACAGTCCCAAGGCCAAGAGCAAGCGTGGAGCCGAAGAGATTTCAAAAGGAGATGATGAGGATGAGGAGAAGGAGATCGTTGAGGAGCCGCGATCGAAGAAGGCCAAGACCACCGAGGTGCAAGTCAAGAAGCTCCGCGTACGGAACCGGGCTTTGTTTGGTCTGAGTGCCGTGTCACTGGCCGTCGGGTATGTATCTCTGATCTGCTCATTGCCATACGGGACTAAAATCCGCTAACAAAATATGCAGCGCATTCTCGTACTTTGTCGGTTCTTTCTGAGACGTCATTTGGCGTGTCGGGAGCATTTCGGGGGGCTCTAGGTTGCAGTGAAGACGGTTGATTCTCAGTCGTGGAATATCAGATACGGTATTCTGACTACCTCAAGCCCGTTTTCCAGGCCGAGGACTCGGCGGCAGCCTTTCTATATCGTTTTATTGCCTTACTCATCATACCCAGATAGAGCCCGAGGGCACTCGGGCCAGCTTTCTTTTCACTCGTTGCTTGTGGAATATTGGGTGGGATCAAATAAGTGTACATTGACATCGTCTCCCACGGCGATAGGGGGATACGCGGGAGGGCAAGGGCCGTGGTTCAGGATTGAGGCAATTGTAGTTGATGTATTGTTTAGGTATTTCTCTGCTTTTCGGCGTCGAATGGGATACGGTGCATGCGTTGCAAGAGATGCTTCTTCGAGGCGTAATCGTCTTGACAACTATGTCGCTCGTAAGCAGTGAAAGGGTGTTGTGTCATTCTCCCTATTGGACGTGTGCAATATATAACTACCTTGACTATGATACGATCTGTATTTGTGAATCCAGCTACCCGAATGCTCCATTTCACTCAGGCAGAGCCTCATTCGGTTTCTGTCCGAGTCACTCCACAACTTTCTTCGACGTAGTACCCGCCTACATAGCTTAGTACATAAGATGATGAGGGGCTTGGGTTGTTGACTGGCTTGTATATTGCAACTTGGCCGTACGAGGTCCTTGTCCCTAACCTATCCCAGCCGCTGCTGGTAGAAAACAATGGCTCAACCGTCTATTACTCAGTCAGACGTCCCATTATTTCATGGAAGGCCCTTGGCAAAGAGTCAGTTCCTCGCCGAAATCTCCACCACTTATCCCTTCAGTCTCCATCGTCGTCTCAACTGTCTCCATCGGCAATGGAGATGATGTTTGTCAAACTGATGTCATTCGGTCCACACGCCACGGCATATAAAAATCAGAAATTTCTCACGATGTCTGAGAAGCCAAAGTCGATTCCTTTCCTACTCACCTTTTCATCGTGAGTAGAAGGCCGAGCTCGGATTTGACGTTTTCCCCAGCGACGTTATTATATCCGTACGCTCTCCCGGCACCATGCGGTATTCTTAGCATCATCTGCAAGGGGTGCGGAACCACTCTTTTCTTCTCCAATTCATTCAGGGCCGCTCCTGCAGACGCGCCAATGCATGGGTTGGGAGACAAAGGTCTCGGATGACGGGGGGAGGGGCCAAGGGCTCAGGTCGCCCGCGTGCATCATTCGGGGTAGGCACGAGCGGGCATGGCTAACACCGGCAATGGCCGGCTCCCCGGATAACCGTTGGCTTGCTCCCCCGCAGCGCGCAAGCGGGTGAAGTGAAAGTGGAAGTGGAAAGCTGGGGTTACGATCGGCTGGAATGCCCGTCTCTCATCCAACTTTTGAACAAGAGAATTGTATACTTACATCTTTGCGGTTTTGAGTGTACACTGCCTCTTTTTCACTTTCACTTTCAATCAAGTACCTGTCGCTTTTCCTCATCTGAAATTGGAATACATTTCACAATATGCGGGCAGCTTCGACATTGCGAGCTCTGCCGAGACTCGTCCAACAACAGCGCGGCTTTGCGACGACGCACCGGCGGTTGGAGAGTTATGGCTTCATCGGCTTAGGACAAATGGTATGGCCCTCCCTCACTCAATGACATTAATCCCTCATGAAGCTAACCGTTCATTTCAGGGTTACCAAATGGCCAAGAACCTTCAGTCTAAGTTGAGTCCCAAAGATGAGATTCGCATCTTTGACATCAATAAAGACGCTGTATCCAAGCTGGCAAAGGAAATGGACCAGTCTCAGGCCGGCGGCGCAAAGGTTGCTGTTGTTGACACTGCACGAGATGCGTCAATTGAAGCTGTAAGTTGCCGTGTTTCCTTTTTCCATCTTTCAAGATAACCCATCTGTGCTCGTATGATGCATTCTTAAAACTGTTTTGCCAACTATGAGGCGGCCTACATCCGTCCACTGAGTAAAGCAACTTCCTAAGTCTTCTGATCTCGAGAATCTCATGCCATATTTCTTCAAGCTCCAACTTTTTGCTATAGACATGAATCCTAACGAGACTCACCAGGACACCGTCATCACCGTTCTCCCCGAACCATCTCACGTAAAAGCAGTCTACGCCTCCATCCTCAAAGACCTGCCCTCCCGCAAGCGCACCTTTATAGACTGCTCTACCATCGATCCCTCCTCGTCCCGCGAGGTCGCCGCCTCGGTCTCGGCCTCAACCAGCGACCAGGGCACTTTCGTCGACGCCCCAATGTCCGGCGGCGTCGTCGGTGCCACGGCCGGCACGCTCACCTTCATGCTCGGCTGTGACGCTACACACCTTCCCACCGTAGAGCCGACGCTCCTGCGTATGGGCAAGCGCGTGCTGCACTGCGGACCGCAGGGGACGGGTCTCTCGGCGAAGCTGGCGAATAATTACCTACTGGCCATTAACAACATTGCCACGGCTGAGGCGATGAACCTGGGCATGAAGTGGGGGTTGGACCCCAAGGTTCTCGCGGGCGTGATCAACGTTAGTACGGGCAAGTGCTGGCCTAGCGAGGTGAATAACCCCGTCAAGGGCGTCGTCGAGGGGAGTCCCGCGGGGCGGGATTACAAGGGCGGGTTCGGGATCGGGCTGATGCGCAAGGATCTTGGGTTGGCTGTCGTTGCTGCGCGGGAGGCTGGTGCCAAGTTGGAGTTGGCGGGCAAGGCGACCGAGGTGTACGCCTCTGCTGAGGCCGAGGAACAGTGTAAAGGGCGGGACTTTTCCGTCGTTTATCGGTACTTGGGAGGCAAGGAGTGAAAAACAGTCATCCGTCAAGCTAGGATGTTAGATTTCTAGGGTCTTTGGGAAAATTACCCTTACCAGAACAATGAAAGCATTCATCGATAGATGTCAGACCACCCCGCAGTTGAAGGTCCTGGGATTAGCCGTTTGTTCTTTCTGGTACCTGCCAGTGCCTTTGTTTCTGTCCTCCACCACTTCTCCCTGACTTCGGCCTCTTTCTCCCCAAGATGGTCCACGCATAAGTCGCATCGAATTACCTTTGGCTTCGGACGGCGGTGCTGTGGCTCGATGAGGGTGTATCCCAACGCTGTCTTCAAGACTTCAAGCTCGAGTCCCGAATGATTGAGTGCCGGATCGGAAGCGGACGGTTCAGGGACCGTGTCGTAGAGGACGCCGCAGTGTTGGCGGTTCTCGCCGTTCAGGGTGGCAGCGGAACATCGATCGAGGACTCGGCGACGTGGTTTTCCTAGACGGGTGTTGCAGATGCCGCACATGTAGTGGACTACGTCTGCGATGCACATCGTGAGTAAAGTTGTGATGGGAGTTACTTACAAAGACTACTTTCCTATCTCATACGATATGTCTGGCTGGTGGAGGGTATTCTAGATGAGGTTGTCAACAGTTTTCCGTGGAGAATCTAAGGGAAAATATCTAGCTTATTTGTAGAAGCCAGGTCACTGTCCAGGTATGACCTGTGGATATTGTAGAGGGGACTTTATAAATATTGAACAAACGTTGGTTGTTAAATAATAAACAATCAATTCTTTGTCGATTCACTGGTAGCAGACATTGTAAAACTTGGTATGTCGACATAAGTAATACTCGACAAAGCTCACAGAAAGACCGAAGTTGAAGTTCACTGAATATTGTGTCAAATTCTTTGACAAAGTACAAATCCACAGTCTACAAGGTTTCGAGAAAAGAGATAGCGCCTTTGCGCCGATTCCCAACTGAGCTGACTATTTGTCGAGAACAGTGTTTCCATGATCCCTTCTTCATCCGTCTAATACCATCTTCTTTATTCTAACATACTTCTTTCGACTCTTCATGCGGACTCGCGCCCAGACTCGATCTTGGTGTTTTCGGGTGTTGATGTCGTCGTCGCCTCCGACTTCTCTCCGACAGTGGCCTTGCGAGCGTTCGCCATTTGCGGGAAGAATAGGCCCGGGTGGAAGGCTGTAAGCATCGTGACGCAGATCAAGACTAGGCCGCCGTCGAGGATCATGAAGGAAACCTCGTCCTGCATAATGTGGTTGCCCCATCCACCGGCCATCTCAGCAACACTGTAACAAGATCAGTCACCCCTCTTCTTTTACTCTTTTTGCGGTATACCAGCCCAACTTACCGGTAGATGCAACGAATCATCACACAAGCGTACGCCACCGTAACAGCGTAGATGAAGGACCTGAACCTCTTGGCATGGTACAGCGAGACATCGCCGGCGCTGGTATCGGCCCCGTGCGCCCACTTCCTCACGCGGATCCAGTAGTCCGCACCAGTGATCCCAAACAGCATCAACACGACGACCTGCAGCACGATACCCGCAATGATGGCCTGGTTCCCCCCGTCTAGCAGCTTCTTATTCGTCTGGCCCGCCGCAGCAGCCAAGCCGCCGCCGATAGCCTGGATGATGAGGCAGGTGAGGTCGGCGGGGAGGAAGATGAGCGGGTACAGACGAGGGCGGACGCGCGAGAGGGATGGGTTGAGGTTGGCGGAGACGTGCTTTAGGGTCAGATAGATTCCGGCGCAGATGAAGGTCGGGCCGAGGATGATGGTGCAGATTTGCATCTGGAAAGCGTCCTTGTTCCAGGGGTTCTCGTGGAGGAGGGTGCGGCCGACGTAGCCTGGAGTCATGTTAGTCGTTAGAAAGGGGGATTATTGATGATGTTTACGGGTCTAGGGGCACGGAAGCATGGTTCATCCAGTTGTAAGTTGGGATGATGGGTTCGTGTTTGAGGAAAGGCGAGGCAGGGAGGAAACTCCATACCAACTGTCTCGAGGACACAGCCGCCCGTCACAAGAGCCATGAACGTCCATGTGCGCTTCCATGTTCCAATGGTTGCTGACACGAGCACGATCAAACCAAAAGCGACGGCGAAGAAGATATTGGCGCCGAAGTTGGGGTAGTAGGACAAGACTGTCATCTCGACGGGGCAAAGCTGTGAGACTTCGGTACACTCGCGGAAAGGCCGCCGTGTCGTGGTGTCGTTGGCCGACATGATGACGGTCGATTTGGATGTGCTGTTGAGTAAAGTCGTCCGGCTTCGTTGAGGCTCGGGATGTATAGGAATCTTCCTAAGGTGCCCGAAATCACAAAAGCGATCGATCGCGAGTTTGAGTGGATGGTATAGTGTTCGAGCCCTCGTTTCTTTCCTCTCTCTTGGTATCTATTATTGTTGCCACGAGCCTGAAGAGGCAATAGTTTTGTCGAGGATGGGTTAGAAGAAAAGAAAAACTTGGACTGAGCCAAGATGCAGATGTCGAATAGAAATGACAGTAAGGAACGCGGACGAGGTTTGTCATCTACATATATGGATGCGAAACATTCGGGCTTTAGTTACAACATGGACAGCAGCCTTTGCCTCTTTAGTATCTGCGTCCTGACAGGCAGAAAGACCACCATCTCAGGGTCCAGAGATCCATGACAGCCCTCCCCTCGGTCATCTCTGCCATATGACTGGTCAGCGTATAGGTTAGTAACACGAAAACCGAGCAAAACGAGAGAAACGAGATGGCATCTTCTGCGAAAAGAGCGACAAGGGTTAGCAGCAAACGGTGACGCTAAGGACAGAGCCAAGATCTTCGTCGTCTACCCGAGGACCCGCTCGCCCGCTCGAAATGGAAACCACTGCGCCTGCCGCTTACGGACTTTGTGTGTGTGTGTGATGGGCGGCCATTGGATGATGGTTGTCTCTCTGTTGGGCCCTCGGACGTTCTGTGACATGTTGGATCTGTCTGTAATCATATTGAATGCGACAGTAAGATCTTATCAGGATTTCAGACTTCACAAGTAGGAATTGACAAGGTGACTCGAGATCAAGTTGCGGATCCCCAGTGCAGCCAACACCCTTTGTCTCGAACACTAGATTCAAGAGACAACGGACAGAGTCAAGAGGAGAGACAGTTGAGGCAACAAACGGGGGAGACTCCGAGAGACGGTACAGAGAGACCAACGCCCGAATCTTAGCATCATTCTAGCGCCTTGGCTCGGGTCCGCACCGAATCCACCCATCGGGGTGTTTCCTATCCGAATAACACGGGGTAAGCGATGCTGATAGACAGCCACCCGAACACCTAACCGAGATATCGACAGGGATCACTCGACCTTCTCCCGAGTCCCGCTAGAAACACCGGCGGGTTAGAGGCCCAGGGAGGATCCGAAAGGTGATGGTTCGGGTCTCTCGGTTCGCTTGGATGATATGCCTGCCGCCCGCGTGGTAACCATCAAGACTAATGTAAATGTATTCGTGTGTGCAACTGCGACCCAGTGACCGTAGTACTGGACCCAGACAGTCGGGGCAACCAATCTCTCCGAAGCGTAGGAGGAATGCTGTCATGCCAGTCAAGAAAGCCACCCGTTGCCCATTCCGCTAATCTGTCGCCGAGTTCTGCCCCATAAGACTGATTGCTCTGGGATGCAACACCTTCAAATTAGTAGTCTTCTATCTTCTCTGCAGACCGATTCATGAATTTAGCCCAGCCTACCGCGAAACTACGCGTTTGGTGACTGTCACGATAGAAACTTTGGGCCCAAGTGCCAGAATGTGTGTTATTTAATTATATGCTTCAGGTCGACGAGAGCAGCTTCTGGCTACCGGGTCACAAGCGACGACGGGCATGTCATTCGCTGTCGTCGTCGCTGCTCTCGTCCTCTTCGTCTTCCTCCTCTTCTTCGTCATCATCCTCGTCCTCTTCATCCTCATCGTCTGTTTCTTCTTCCTCCTCTTCTTCGTCGTCCTCATCATCCTCTTCCTCCTCCATGTGGAAGGCTGCCTGTTGCTCTTCTTTCTCTTCCTCGGCGAGCCAGTCATCGAGCGTCTTGACACCAACCCCGCTTGCAGCACCAGCACCCACAACGGCACCGAGACCGTTGGTCCTCGTTGGCGCCGCTCTGACTGCGCTGTCGAGCATTTGACTTGCCGGCACGTTTTTATCCTCACCGTAGCTCGATGTTGCTTCTGTCTCTCGTAATCTCCTGTCGGGTTCCGAGCCCTCCGCAACCCATTCGGGGAGAGCATCGTAACCACGTAACCCGTGAATGCCACCTCCACCGGCCAACACAAGCGTTGACGAGCCGAGCATAAAGCCCTTGCGTGTCTCTGATGGGCTGGGAGCCTGGGGCGCGGGCTTCGGTGCCAACAACATCAACGTGGCTAGTTGGGGCACGGAAAGGAGGGCTCGGTACATCCGGGCTCGGTCGCGGAGGTCGTACGATGTGTCGTAGCGGACCAGTAATAGCGCATAATCCCAGAGTTTCGCCACGGGGTGGTCGTCCTGGACTGGTACGGGCGCATCGTCTTCGCCCTTGTTCTCGTTTTGTCGGTTTATGTGATGTAGGTAGACCTTGGCAGCGAGAAGGAGGATCTGTCCCTTGGCTACCTCTGCCTCACTCGCGAAATCCTTGAGAAGAATCCGCATCACATCTGCGGCAATATTGTCCTCGCCTTCGAGGCCTGAGAACTCGCCCACAAGCCAAATGATGGTTGCCCTTGCTTGAGGGTCTGTTGCCGAGTCCAGGTTCTTCGCCAAACGAACAACTGTGCCTACATGCCCCTGGGGATCTTGCTGGATCAGGTGCCGAATCACCGTCAAAGATTCCGCTGCCAAAGTTCCATCAAGACTCGTGATCTGTCCGAGTAGTAAACGAAGACACCTGGGAGCCGCAGACGAGTCCGTCTGGGCGCACCGTCCAATAGCGCGCACTGCTTCTCTTACCAGCGCTTTGTTCGTTGAGCCGGAAAAGTGCTCGAGTTCGTTCAGAATGAGGCTTTTGATGTGTGGCGGTGCGTGAGGGAAGATGAGTGTCAGAATTTCCAGTTTCAGCTCCCATACTTGCGCAGGGTCCGTAGCCCTGACAAGGAAGTGGCTGGCGTATTTGACAAAGTCGGTTGGCCTCGTCAGGCACACCGAGACGATGTTGTAGAGGGCGACTTGCTGGATGTCTTGTGGTCCCCTGAGGAGCGCAACGAGTGGGCCAATCGCTGTCTTGACGTACTCCGGCGTGCCAATATCGACGTAACATCTCGTAACCGCGATGACCACAGCTGAATTGCGACTCTGTAGCAGCGGTTTGATGCCGTTGAGGAGCAAAGCGAGATCTGGGTCCACGACGGCAACCTCATGCTCCTCGCCTCCAGTCTGCGATGTTTCTCCGTAAAAGTCGCCCAAGTTGGCAGCCTTTTCCTGACTCTTAACGCTGCGTGTTCGCCTGGGGAAGCATTTCCTTGCGTAATATGTCATCATTCTCAGCGTCGCCAGCTGACTCCACTCGTCCATGTCTACGACCTTTTTGACCAACGCCCGGTACTGGGGATGTATGAGGTCGATTCGGTCGGGACATATCTCGAGAAAGGCCGAAACTGCCGCACCAGCGACAAAGTACTGCTTGTCGCCAAGGAGAGCAGTTAGGTATTCGAGGAGTTGCGGCAACTGTGTGGGATCGAGGCGGTAGCATTTGGGGATGGAGAGGGCGGCAGCTCGGCGCACATAGGGACTCATATCTGCCACACCCTTCTTGATTGCGAGAGATACAATCTGACTGATGACTGGGACTCGGATGCCAGACATTGTCTTGAGAGCAAGGGCGCGGACTTGGGGGTTCGTATCGGAGAGGGATTTCTGAATGGTGTTGATGGAAAGCAGAGCCAGATCGGGTTCTTGTTCGGCATGATGAATGAGGTAGATGTAGACAAGCTTCTTGATTTCGATGTTCGGGGAGGCGACATTCTTGACAATGGAGGAGAAGAAGGGTAACGTCTTTTGGCCGCGGTACATCATCTATGCAGAACAGGTCGATTAGCCAAGGCAGGGAGGGGAAGGCTGGCTGGGAAGAGCGCGATGCCTACCGAGAGGACGCGGCGCAGGCCGTCGAGCACCTCGCGCTCATTTCGACTGTCCAGTAGCTTCTTGATCTGTGTACGGTCGAGAGGGCGGCCGGTGCTGCGGGAGCTGCGCGTGGCTGAGGCGGCATCGAGAGTGAGCTCTCGGGCTGAGACGAGGTAAACGTTAGCGAGGAGACATGACGACAGGAGCAAGAAGCGCACCGCTCTCGAGCAGACTGGATATCCGCGCAATGGACTCCATGGCGGGCGACAGTGCTGTCGGGCCTGAAGAAGTCGGGCGGGTGTTTGTCTTTGAAGCCTTGGAGATGTCGGGTCGTTGTGGCAAGGAGAGAAATGACGTCTCATCGGGTGCTCGAGAGGCTGACTGAGCTAGGTGGCCGTCGAGGGGCAGAGGCCGGGGCGGTTGAGGTACCTTTAGGCTTTAGCTGCTGTATCCGCAGAGGGCGGGGGCTCGATAGGTAAGGTAGCTCCACCACGGCGGACGATTCCAGCCCCACACCGATCCCCTGCTCACTCACTTCCACTCAAGGTTGGAAACTTGTCTTGGTCTCTGGTGAGAATCTGGCGATTGATTGACAATTTAGATCATATTCTCAAATTTAATTCCGATCCTCAATAGGCTTGGAGGAAATACATCCAGGGGGTTTTGGAACGTCTAGTAGCATAGTAAGTTTAGGGTGTCTTTCTGGAGAGCGGGAAACATGACACTTTGGTTATTGAGTTCCTAAAGAAATTTAATCCAAGCCTCTTAGACTCTTTCCCTTACTCATAAGTTTGCAACTTCAAGAAGAGGTATCGATAGACGCGGGTAGAGGGGCCCGAGGGAGATCTAATGAGCTTATATAGGAAGCAAGATTATCGAACTACTCTCGATTGCAAAGTATCTTGACTAGTAATTTCTAATACTTATATTCAAGTATTTTATTGACCTACTAGTGAATGATGAAATTGGAACTGAAGATAAGTTCTATTTCTATACGTAGTCTCCTCAGCCCCATTGCGCGCCGTCGGCCATTTGACCCAACTTCTCGTCAAGTATGCCCAAGCCTGGTTCTGAACCTGACAGTGTAAATATGTCTCCAAGAGATAAATATGATGCTGTTCGCTGACAATTTTAACTCTCAGACTGTGATCAGTTCATGAAATCCAAGCTCAAAGTGTTTACTAGGATCCTTGAGATGAAGACTAAGGGTGGCCTAGGTTCATGGGATGTGCCCGTCTGTAGCCCATGTGATGAGATGACCAAGAGCATTCAACGGAAGCAAGCATTACGAGACGCCAGTACTCTAGAGTGTCAACAAGAAGGACTGAAGGCCCAAATTATTTGATGAAAGAAATGGTGATATGCTGCTGTCACTGTTACGACCGCTTGAAGCAGCAGTCGTAGATCGAGTCTCTCACAGAAAAGTGGCTGAAGTGGGTCCCTCTACCTGGCGCACTGATTGGCTTCAATCATACTCTTCCTTCATCCCCCTCCTACATCGTCAAGGACTGATCTAATGAGAGAAAACCCCCGAACCGTAAGAAAAAAAATACTCTCGAGGGTCTAAGAGTGTCACTTAGCAAAGAAAAAAACAGATTATTCTCAGAATATTTACCAATGAACCCGACAGTGCTCTCGCCTGCCTCACCAGCAGAGCTGCTTCATTACATCGTCACATTCCAGCCTTACCCAACGACACTCCTCATTTGCTATCAACGACAGGACTTCATCTCAGCTCTCGTCTCTGACAGCCGCAAAAATATTTCCCAACAGAACCATGAGCAGCCCGAAGGCCTGCCTCCGCTACCTCTCCTCTCAGCAACACTCCTCCAGACCGCAATTGCCCGTCACATCCGCATCCTCTTCATCCCCAGCGTGACACATCTACGCGCCTTCCTGTCCGCCTTTGACACTTCAGACTCCTTGACACCACCTCCACCAAATATCCCATCGTCAGATTCGAAGAGTCGCCCGCCTTTGCTCCTGGTGTACGGGTTTCTCGATCTCCACCGCGATAGCAGCGAGTGGAGCGCGCAAGGCCTCAGTAGCTCGGCCGCGGTGCTCATCGAGGCAGCCCGCCGGGCCGACACCAAACTCAAACCCGTCATCGTTGAGCCTAGAGGCGCAGGAGGGCATCAAGACTTTACGTCACTGCTGCGGGATGATGCGCCGGTCTTGAGCGGGAGTTCAAGGAGGAGCGAGGGCGTCTGGATGGGGAGAACCGTCGAGGTGAGACGAGTATTGGGCCGTTGGTTTCGTTTCCAGACTGGTCGTTGGGATCTTTAGTACTTGGCTTGCACAGAACCTGGATCGAGGCAACGATATGGGTCGAAAGAGATCGAAAGCTTCATTGTATCGATACGTTGGGCATGACCGTGTAACACCCAGGTCTTTACCCCCCTCCAACATCTACAGAATCCAACCCTGCCTCGAACGCCAAACCCATGGTATCCTTATAACTCATTTCATCGTGGCAAAGTGACAGATAACCGACCCAAAACAATGATAATCTAAAGAGCCTGCTCCATCTCGGTAATGTATAGCTTGATGTGAGAGTCCATCTTGAGGAACTCATCGTAGGCACTGTGAATCTCGTTTTCGATGTTCTCCTTAAGGTCCAACATCTGATTTTCTTTTTGTCAGCAACCAGTCCCATATCGGAAGTTCAGGGGTAAATGTACCTTTTTCTCGGTTTGCTCAATGCGAACACGGCGCCTCTCGATATCCTTGCCCTTGTCCGTCCTCTCCTCGGTGAGCTTACGGTGAACAGCACGAAGCTCCTCCATCTTCTCCTTGGCGTCCTGGGCCTTGGCGGAACTCTGCTCGCGCAGCTTCTCGGTACGCTTGTTCCACTTGAGCAATTGCCGCTGCAGCAATGCCTCCGTACGCTCGACTTCTCGCACGTTGTTACCGCGCTCCGATAGTGCATCGCGTTGCTTGACGTTCTTCAGGTTCTCGTCCTCCTCCTTGGCCAACTCGGTGCCAATTTCGTCCAACACCTTGATGCATGATGCTACGTCCGTAGAGACCACCGAGAAGGAATCGGCCGATGTCTGGAGGGCGCGCGAGCGGCGATCGAGGGCCTCGATGTGCGACTTTTCGCTGTTGAGCGCGTTGCTTAGCTCCGTCAGGGTCGCCTGCAGCGCCGAAGGACTCTGCATGACGTAGGGCCGAAGCTTCGCGCTCTCTTGTTTAGCGGTAAGCTTTTGTGCTGTCCTCTCCTCCAGAGCCGTCGTGAGCTCCGTCTTCTTGACCTTTGCGTCTTCAAGACGAGCGGCCACGCGCTCCTGGTTACGCCGCAGCTCCAGCAGTCGCTGCTTGAGTTCCTCGTTGCGGGTCGTCTTCTCGCGCACCTGTGCCTCCATTGCCTTGCGGTTGCGCTTCATGTCGACGAGACGCGACTCCATGTCCTGATTCTCCGAGTACAGGCTCTCTATGCGGGATTTCGTCGTTTCGGCCTTGTTGAAGTGCTCGTCAATGACGCTTGTCTGAGATTCGCGGAAGCGCACAAAGTTGATCAGGTAACTAAAGATTTTGACAAGGCGGTCGTGCGTGGGCTTGTAAAGGTCGTTGAAGCTGAAGTCCTGAATGCCGCACTCTGCTAGAAGACCTCGCAGAGAAACGTAGAAGCCCATCAAGTTGCGGGTGTCGGGGGGCACGATGTCGGAGTATTCGCCGCAGATGTCCTCGGCAGCAGCACGCATGGCAGGCTCGACGGTCTCGCGGGTCGCATTGAGGAGCAATTCGGCAAACCATTCGAAAATCATCTGCACCTGCAATGGGTTCGGCTTTTGGAGGTCGGCAACGTTGAAGGGGATTCCGATGTCTGTTATGCAGCCGACAATCTCCTTGTCCGGCAGGCGCATGAACGCGTCGGCTTCATCTTCTTTCTTGCGGGTATTGCGCGACTGTGTCTGTGTCGCGGGAATGATGCTCATCCGCGGATTGTACGACATATTGATGATTGATCTGGGCTCCTTGGAGCGGTGAGATATACTGGCTGGTCGGGCTTGGATGCAATGCGACAAGACGAAGGTCAATTCGACTCCGTAGGCGTGTGTGTAGATATTGGGCGTGGTGTTGTCGCGGTTTGGCATCAAAAGATTGCCGTAAACAGCTTATCGGCCTTGTTGCTCCGACAACCCGCCTCTTATCGATAACGATCTAGGGGGCTAAAGTGCCTTGCCTTACGTAAGAAGATAGTCACATGACCAGAGGCCACGTGCTTTCTGTCCTTTATTGCCGGTGTACCTAAGGTGAGGTAGCCTGTGCTCTTCTGCGGCGCTCATGTCTGCCACTGACTTCATCCCCGTGCCAGCCACCTCACATCATCAACATTGGTACATCAGGCGCAAGTGTTACATGGGCGAAGAAGAGAGAAACGCCGTGGAAAGTGTACCCTTTTACTCGTCGCATCGATGCGTATTGGTGCTGTGTATCCGTACAGTGCATACCTATAGGTAAGGTACCTTAAGGTACGAGATATCTAGTGCTTGTAGGCAGGTGCAAAGGGAGGGGACTTTCTTTTGCCAGCGTACCTAGGTACTCCGTACCTTCCACAGGCCACCCACAGGCCACCTTAGATTGGGCGTGGCTGGTGCTTTCCATTAGCGTGGCCTTGGGTTCATGCCTTCCTCAGTGGCATCCAGAAACCCAACGCGACCTTCCAGAGTTTGAACACTTCCACTTTGCCGACTCGCCAACGTCGCAGAACAATTTCAACACTTCTCACTTCTCGGAGCTCCAGGAAACCTTGTCACAAAGCTTCGCATGCCGCATTGCTCGGCACTGACTCGAGAAACACTGGTACCTTATGCCTAATGGCAACTTCGAAGCAACCTCATCAATCCGGGACTTGGGCGCACACCAGTCTCGTCCTGTGCCTCAAACTCAATTCAAGACACCAGGTTATACGGAGTACAGTCATATTCGAAAGAGATACCATCGGGAATCCACTGCGGTGGTGAATCTCTCATGCCATGGCCTACACGGCGCCTACAAAGTACTACTGCTGGACCATTACGTACCAAAATGAGAGATTCGGAGAGAGTACCAAATCGGATTTTTGGATATGGACCAAGTGGTTCAAGAGGCGAGCCTAGAACCATCCTCATCCCCTGCGCTTCCAAGCAGATGACCTCGCCTGCGTTCTCAGAGACAGAGAGGCCAATCGAACCAGGCCAGAAAGGTGCTAATCCCTAACCACAAAGTGCAGAGATGAGCAGATGAACACACCCTCACAGTTCGCGCCAGCCGAGATCTGCGCTAAACCCCAGCCAGTTTCCGTCCTCCTCCCACATGGCGTCCAGGTATCTCTGGGTTTCTTCTCTCCGATGACTTTGGCCTGACAAAACTACGGACACTGACCTTCATTTCCGCATCGCCAAATGGATTCTACCCGTAATACTCTATGGACCAAAAGGGAGCCGTCTCATTTCGCAATGAGCCCTGTTGCCGTCTACCCATCGACATCGTTTCTGAAACGCCCCTCGCCATGGGCTATCATTGGCTGGAAACAACAGACTCCCATTGACAGAGGCTCCGAGCGTGAAACAGTTTGGATTTACTTTTCGGGAAGTCCCAGTCTAGCGTCACCGCCAGGCGCCAGGGGGGGATGTCATCAGATGAAAAGGGTTTTATTTTCACCAACCGTTATTGGTGCAAATCTTCCCTGACTGGCCAGCTATGCGAGCACTCAAATTTCCATCGCCAGATAGGAAGATTGCTGCCAAAATCCTCTCTAACGTGGGCATCTGCGAGCTGTGAGTAGTTCCTAATGCTCTGGATCAAGCCTACCTGCATGAACTGCAACCAGTTAATGGTCATATTAGCGAGCGACCGTAATCACTGAACAATGGTGATTCATTCGTCAAGGTCAATGAGGGAGAACTAGTCTACACACCAACCCCGCCCTCGAAGCCTCGACTGGTGACATCGAAAGGATATTACGCCCTCCACAAGTCCATCGAGGCATCCAAGGGCGAGGATAAAGGTTCTTCGGCGCACGCTAGCTTATTCTATGTGCGAATGAAGGTGCACAGCATCAAGCCAGCATGACCATCATGTTATCCTGCTCGACTGATAGGAGCATTGCAGAAGCCGAAGTCGAGCAATGGCCCATGGCTAAGCCGGAAGACGGATTATCGAGACCCATCAATGACCACACTGCTGGCTTTACATTGCTGTGCCTGCACTTGCATTATCCAGGGGGAAGCTTGCACTACGTGTCGAGTCTGACAGGTGCGAAAGAAACGATGCTGCGGACACCTGCAGCACGCCAGACCATTAAGAAGAAATGAGGCCGTATCAACCTATGTTTGGTCATCTTCCACGCAACCGCCTGAAGGGTACTCGACCACTGCTTCGAAGTAGCAGGCTATCTGCACAGCATGATGCGCCCCTGAGAACTATGGATGATGAAGCGAGCTCACGAAGCATACGGATACAGCACCGACGGATACATGGAAATTGGAAATCAAGCCCGGGTGGAAGCTGACGGATGACGAACTCCTCCGCAGCTAATTACCCTACGCCGCTACGGCAGGCTGGCAGGTCGATAAGACCAGAACCCCGGCGCAATGACGTTGAGATGGGACGCCAATCTTAAAAGGATCGCCCCCAAGGCGGCTAAGAGTCGTCACCCCGGTCTGCCGCTGGCTCAAGTCCTCAAGCAGGAGTGGCAGGCACGCAGGCAAAGCCTTTGAAGCCACACGTACCGATGATGAAGCAGTTGCAAGTTGCGACACTTGGACTTATGCCGCACAATCTGCAGCCCGCGCGCCATTGCGACGTCCTGACTCTTGGACTCAGCAGGGCCGACGGCATATCCTGGATGGAATGTCTCCATGAAGGGCCAGCAGCGGCTCCCATGACATAATGACCGAAACCTTCAATATACAGGGCATAAGTTAGGGACACCCGCCGCCCGGAGACTGCCAAGGTGCTCATTATACAGGAACACGCACTTTCTTTGATATTTCGGGGCATCAATACTCTCCCACAGCAACTGCACTAGCCATGCGCGAACGACATGCTACAGCATGGCGGAGTGCAGGAGTTCACATGTTTGCAGTCGTGGCAGGCTACGGTTCCATGCGATGCATTGACAGCAACAAATGGCCAGAACACCGTGAAGCCAGTAAGCAGATGGATACGGCTCACGATCTCGTTAGAAGGGGGCTGGAAGGGGACCCTACAAGCTGCGAGTGTTGGTTCCAACTCCTTCCAGGCTACGTCGTGGGCGGCGAGTGCCGGGCCCCGAGGCAGTGGGCAGGCCGCAGCAAATACGGGTTGCAGCGTCTTTCGACCAGCTTCTCCAGGGCAGTTAAGGACGAATACGAGCAAGAATTGAGGGTTTTGCAATCGAGGTACCTGCAGGTTCCCATCGAGCCAAGCCTTTCTCTCGTACAAAAGAGGGCCAGACTTCATGTAACCGCTCTCAAGCGGCGTTGTGCTCGATACGGCCCCCGATGGCCTTGGCTACTCCATCGCAGAAGTATTGACGTCCCGCTCCGCAGGTAACGGTACTTTAGAGAAGAAGAACGATCCCTGCCTCAATGGCAAATGGCCCCTGTTGCCTCGCAAACAGGCACGTTCAGGTTTTCCAACAAGTACGATCCCTACAGGCCACGCATACTGTGGGATGAGAGTCAAGGACCGGCCGGCAGGGCAGAACGTTGCGCAACCGTCGAACCGAATGGCAACCCGCAACGTCCAGTCTCCTCAGTCTCTCGCCTGGGATCGAAGCTCTCGCGGGTGGCCAAAAGACACCGCAGCCGGCCCCGTAGCAACGCGGCCGACGGAGGTGACGGGGCGGGCGCTATTCTGGGAGCTGGAGCGGTCAGATGATGTGTCTGGGTGTTCCCCGTGTCCCCTCAAGTTCTCAACGGCTAAGGCCACTTTGGTCTTGGCTCATCATCTTTGTTCGCTTTGTCTACCAGGACCCCGAATACCTACACTAGGTGAAAGAATAAGCTTGTGCGCAAGGAGAAGGAATTGATAGTCGGCCGGGCTGCTAGTAAGAGTCTAGCTTTCTCGTTGCTCAGAGGCCCTTCCCAGTCGATCATCCGCCCGCAAAATGACGGCGGGACGGCCGGTAGTCATTGGCGTCAAACGTATGTCAGTATCACCGTCAACTCGCCCTAGTGGCTGGAGCAACCTTCAGGCCAACGCCCCGCGCACGCCTCGCCCTGTGCAGCTGTCTGTGAGCTGAAATGATAGCTCAGTGGACAGAAGCAAAGGGCAAGATGACGGTCATGTAATAGGATATGCTAGAAAGAGGCTAACGCCAAAGAACATTTCTCAGAATCAACGCAGCGGGCTGAGCGATATCTGGGGAAGGATGATGGCGCGAATCCTGAAAGAACGCCCTCCGACAGCGAACGGTGGGCGCGATGGCGCATAGCAACAGTGTTCGTGCAACTTTGCGAATACTTGTATGGATGCACAAACGGCACCAGTACCTACCTAGCCACATCATCTGATGAAGAGCACCGCAACGGTTCAGCAGGTTGCGGGGCGCTACCATCCTGTGGCCGATGCGGCAAAGAGTTGTGGCCAGAGGTGACGATGAACTCTGTTTGCCACCCTTCTGTTTCCCTTTCGGAATCCCACTGAGGGATGAGGGTCCGGAAACAAGGGCTTCTCCAGATTTAATCCTCTCTTAGTACACGGGTGGGCTGCCCTTGTTATTGAGCCGGCGGATTTGGGATACTCTTGGTTATTTTAGACTCCCAATATGTGGCACAGCAAGGAACAGCACCATGGGAACACTGCAAGGGCATGTCCATTGACGGCGATTCTTAATTGAGGCTGAGATAGATCCAGTCCGTCTCGATTTTCAATTCCCGGATCTATCTATCCCTTCCGAGGGGATGACTCAGGGCCTGGGCGAATCCCCTTCCAGCCCTCGTCTTTTTCACAACGTCCTGACGGCTTAAGAGGAGCGATGGGTAGGCACAAAGTGGGTGGATGGACACACGCAAAGTCAAACACTTCAACCGAGTAAGAGTCCTGTGAAATTAACACAGCCCTACTGCGTCACTGCAGAGCAAACAGGCTGTGGTTCTCAGACCTGAAGCCTGCGTACTTGTGGACGACGCTGCCATCCATCACTCAGCTCCGGGAGCGCTACTCGGCAGCGTTCCAATACAGACGACTTGCAGCCGCCAACAACGCATCTGCTGTTTTGACTTATTGCAGAAGTAAACGGAACCTAGATGTTCGTACGGAGCATTGGTACATGTCGCTGCAAGATCTGAGCAACCGCGGAATACGGGACTCAGACGGGTCTGCGGTGCGGATACGAAGCGATACCGAAGAGGTGCGGCGGGTACGTTGACTGAACCGCTCCCACATCCCTTCTTTTTACCTTTTTTCTTCTCCTTTTAAACTTGCACATACGGGCTTCTCGCGGTACATCGCGCTGGGCACAGCGGCAGCCAGGGGGACGGGCCCCATGAGCCCACCGTTGGAGGTTGAACGAGCAGAAACTTTAACACATATGGATACCTACCTTGCTGTACTACTGCATCGAGAGGCATGCTGGAACCGTTACGGCTATGATCTATCGATAACTAAAGGTGGCCAGCCACTCGACACTACGGACAAGCACGATTCCAGTCATCTTCAGGCTGTCAAGCCACCGAAAACCACAGAATAAGACAACGGCATATGAGACAAGCCCGGGGGAGACCAGAAAGGCCTCCAGACGGTGAGACATTGGGACACCAGGGGCTGGATGTCAAGACCCGCGAGTCGTCCATAGAGATCCCAGTAGTGAGAAACAGGCAAAGCCGGACCTGTTGCCGCTCGCAGTCAGTCAGGCCAGGAACCAGCGCCACGGCAGACTCGCGCTGCATCGCATCGCATCGCATCGCATCACTGGTTGGATTCGTTGAGGGCTGCTTTCTTGAATCTTGCGTCCTGCTCTGGCTGGACCCCTCTACGAGTCCACGCGCTCTCTCTCTCTCTCTCACACATCTCTCACTCCTTCTTGATCTTCTCAGTCCAGACCGGAACAAGACCAGGGCAAGCCGCAAACCAGGGCAGCACTTGGAGCCGAGCAGCAGGTGGTGTGCTGGAAAGCTGGTTGGGTCCACTCCGTTGATGCCGAAGCAGAAAAAACTCGCGACGATCAGGCCCAGTCCCTGATTCCATCGACGACATTGACATTCCCCCTGCCGGCAGGAGACTTCGCTGGCGGCTGGCTGCCATCTATCCCTCGTTCACACAGGCACACAGGCACAGCACTGGTTCCCGGAAAACCACGCGAAGCACACGTCAACCTTCTCCTGTGGTTCCTCTCCTCCAGTCTTTATCTTCGTACCAGACTGTCATTGGTTATGAGGACTTCGAGATCCATCTCTGTACAGATCCAGTCCCATCAGTCTCGACAACTCAATGGAACTCAACTCGACCTGAAAGAACGGAAGAGACGCATGGCACGTTGTCCCTGGGACCCATACTGCGTATGCATCAACCAATTGACCAGTTGCCAGTCCATCAAAAAGCTAGGGGAAGCAGGAAGAAACACAAAACGCAACGCACCCTCCAACCCTTGGGCACACACCACACCTTGTCCAGAGAGTCCTGGTCAACTCACACCCCTTCCCCCCCTCCCTCTTCTCACCCCTTCACCCTTGAGTCCTTGACCGACCCTTGACTTTTTCTTCCAGCCCAAACCAACCAGCCCTGGCCGTCCCATCCCTCCTGGTCTGATCTGGTGGTCCCCCAAAGGTCCCGGCTTATGCTCCCTTGCCCTGCCACTCGATGGCCTAGTTCGGATAGGTACCGCAAGGTACCGCTCCAGCACCGGCGCCAGCCAGCCAGCCAGCCCAGCCAAGCAACAAGCTCTCCCCCAGTCCTTGCCAGGATCCCCATCAGCAGCAGCAGCAGAAGAGGAAGAAGCAGAGGCAGGGCCAGCAGCAACAGCGACCACCAGGTCAGGTCGACCCAGGGCAGAGTCCAAGGAAGAGAGGAGGTGAGTCTTGCTCGGGCGTGCCCCGTCTCGTGTCTGGTCTCTTTCTCAAGAAGCCTGCTTGATCTGTGAAGGTTCCCCCATTCGTCATTCCATCATATCCAGCCCAGCTATTGCCACTTTACGAATACATTGGTTGCATATGACTATTTGTCCTTCTTTTTAATCCTCGAACTAAAAAAGGAGAGGTACTGTACGGATACCTTGCTTTTGCTATCCATATTGCTCCGTCACTCCCGTACCTACGGACACCACACTCTTAGTCTCTTGTCTCTCCTCCCCTCCACTCGCTTTAAACAAGCCCGGCCAATACCCTCTCCTCCAAAGACCCAATCCCATATTTGCTGCACAATCCCGGATCCTTCTTTAAGCAGACAGGCTTCCGCATTTCCTTTGGCTCGGGACAACCCCAGCACACCTCTCGTTTTACTCGTCCATTGCGAAACTGGTGGCGATTCTGGTCAGCAGGAAGTATTGAGATCTAAACGAGGCCGCCCGTTCATACTCACTGATCACACACACACACACACACACTACGGAGTACGGATACCTTACGGACACACATATGCTACTATTCATCGATATTGAATAATACGCCAACGATCATGCAACCATTCAGACATTGGTCCTTTGACAGACACCCCAGTATCCTTCGATAACTCATCACCACACACATACTCTGCCCACTGACCACGACGCTTTTCCCGCGTCGGCTGATGGGAAAATGGCCCTTTGGCCCTTCCGCCGGAGGAGCGGTCGCAAACGCTCGCGAAGCGGCGCAAACCTTTCAGACGTCGAGGCACCACCAACATCATCCTTACAAGCACGACGTCTTACAGCGGGCGAAGCCACTGCGCCGAGGGCGGCCATGCCGAAGAAGCAACGCCTCGAGAAGCAGCAACCGGCGCCCAGAAGAGAACGCACCTACAGCTTCTCCCCCGGTCGCAATGACTCCATCCGTGTCGCGGGGCAAAAAGGCTCGGTTCCACTAGGACCTGGCCGGTCGACAGGGCTCTTCCCAGCCGACCGAAATGACGGAGAAGAAAAAGGGGATCCCGCGTGGCAGCGGGCGCCAACCCTACATAATGCACGCCACGGCCAACCGTCGAGGTCCTCTCGACGCAAGACCAGCAAGAGGAGGAGAGAAGAGACGGATCGCGAGGCGGAAATCAAGGCCATGGCAAACTTCGCCCCGGTACGACCGGCGGCCGACCCTTGGACGTCAGGGCGGCCCATTAGGAAACAGAGCAAGAGACTCAAGACCGGCCTCGGCTTCCGTAGGAGCTTCGAAAACCCGCAGTCGGACGTTTCATTACCGATATCGATTCACTCCAGCATGTCATCCGACACGGAGCTACACTCGTTCCGAGTCTCTGCCCTCGAGGCACTATCGCCCCGACCAACATTACGATACGCAGTATACCCACGATGGGGTCCCGGACATGGTTCGGCGCCATCGCGCACACAGCAACAGAAGAGGAAAGTCTCAGAGAGGGTGCCCGAGTCAGTGGTAAGGGCACACAAGAGGGTCGATAGCTTTGCGGATGATTTGGACGCCGCAGACCTGAGGGAACTGATGGAGAGGGATAACAGGAGACGAGAAAGGAAACGCCAAAGAGACCAGGAACGGATAGAAAGGAGACTGGCACGGAGATCAGAGAAGCAGCGCGAGGCCGTGGCAGAAGCCCGTCACAGTGGGTCACCACCGCCGGTTAACTTGGAACGTGGTGTTCTCGGCCGCGAACTCGGCTTGGGAATTGACGCAGCGTCTGCAGTGGTTACTTCTTCCAGGAGACGGTCATGGAGTTCATCACGGCATTCAAGGAAGATTTCAACGACCAAGGACTCCGAGCCGGAGCAGGAGCAGGCGCAGGAACAAGGACAGGAGCAGGAACCGCAACCTGAGACGAGGGACATCGAGCCGGAACCAGCGGCCATCCAACACTTTCACCGGACGACGAGCATCCCGCCAGAGGCACCGCCTTCACCGACGCTGCCTACACAGCCTGTCCCGGAGCGCAAGACGAGCACGAAACTTACGCCCAAGGCCAGCATGAGATTGAAGAGGAGCTTCCTGCGGAGAATTTCAAGATCAAGATCGCCCAATGCCACAGAGTCTGACCAGCACGCAATCTCGCAATATTCGTCGAGACAGGATGAGGGCGAGACCCCCCGCAAGGATACTCGCGCTCGCATCTCTTTCTCAGCGCTTTTCCGCCTGGGCAAAAGAAATAGGAGAAATTCGGGACCGTCTTCCTTCTCGAACACATCGCGCGAGACGATGCAGGCATCAGCCGCCGCCGCACAGATCTACTCGCAGTCGGCAACGCATGTGCCCCAGCAGCAGGAAGATGCGGCCGCGGCGCCGGTACAAGTGCCGATGCCAGCGATCCCCCCACCTGTCAACTACATTCCTCGCAAGGTCAGCAACGGCGTTCCGAAGCGGACCAGGTCGCGCTTCAGGGAGGATTTGCCCGAACTGCCCCTCAGCCCACCCGACTCGCGCGTAGGGTCCCCGGAAGTGGAAATGCCTCTGCCTGTTGTCTCAGAGTCCAAGTCGGGAGAGATTTCGCAGCAGGATACGCCTGCTGTGAGACACGACACACCGACATCAGACCTGCGACGCGTCGATGAGAAGATGGAGAAGCTGGAGAAGATGAGGCAGACGCCCACGTCGCTGCGACACAGCATCCAGCCATCCCCCGAGCCTGTTTCTCTTGCGTCCATCGACTCGGAAGGATCATGGCTCTCCGGCCGCGTTGGCGCCCGCCGCTCGTCCGGCATGCGGGGCAGCATGCACCGCCTCCCGCCTCAGAACGTTAGCCACTCTGCATCGCCCAACGATACGGAGGAAGAACTCGCCGACGATGAGTACCTTTCCAACCTGGCCACGCCATCCCGCGAAATGCTCGCCGACGAAGAACGTACCCCGCGCAAGTCGACGGGCGACGCGTTCCCCAGCAGCGACGAGGACGAGGTGATGGAAGACGCGGATATGAAGTGGGGGTCGGTCGACAGGCAGCGTGCCACCGTCGTGCAGCATCAGAGGGTCAAGAGCCGCGAGGGCATGCTGAAGTCCTATGGAGAAGACAGCATGTCGTCGCCCGAGGGCTCCGAAGAAGGCGAGACGCCCCAGCTTCAACGCGCCACGAGCGTGAGCCTCAGCAGGGGCAACGCCAGGCATGTGAGCGCCGGGAGCACCAAGATGCTCGAGGTTTCTCCCCGCTCGAGCGTTGACCACAGGAGGAGCACTGACGCAGTATTTTGATGAGATTATGTTTCGGGGGATTACTGAAGATGTTTTACTAATGAACAGGGGAAGATGAATCTCCAGCCAAGCCTATGAGACGTACAATCACTCGAAATTTCCTTATTATCTCTCTACGTCGAGATATACATCGACACCCGACACTCGTTACCAATTTCCTTACAACTCTATCTATCCACCGACCATATTCACTCATTACATACTATTTCCTTGCCACTGACGACAAAAACCACAAAAACACTTGGAAAACGACAAAAATCCGGATATGCTCTCAGACTTGGCTGGCTTCATCGACTCCTCTCTTCCACATCTTCGCCCCCGCTCTCAAAAATCTACGCGACTCTTCTCCTTCCCGCCTACAACGACACCCAATACCGACCGACGCGGAACTTGCCTCAAGAGTTGTGGGCTCCTCTGCGATTCATCTGATGTACGATACGACCTTAACGACCCGCACCTTTCTTCTTTCCGCCGACGACGATGACGACGCGTTCTCTACGTACGCGTTTCTGCGCGGTGGCACTTGTTTCTTCGTTTCATGTTCTCGAGAATACAACGTTTGATACCACGTCTCCTTCCACCGTTCCCCTTTCCTCCACAATCCCTTTCCGAAGGAAAATGTGGGAGGAGGAGTAGGAGGGGGAAGCGAGATGATTTGAGATTTTTTGGCTTTTTTTTCAATGTGACCCTGTGTAAGGGTCACAGTTGCGCACCCAACAACCAACCCCTTTAGACCGGCAGTGACAGCACGCCTGCGCACTCCTTTGATGAATGCTCTGCGATTCTCTCCGAGGAGACGGGGAAACAACCTAGATTTGGGGATGGGGAAAACAGCACGAAATGAGGGGAATTCAGAGGAGGATGGGGAAAAACAGGAAAAGAGCGAGCATTCGCGGCGATGCGCTGCCATTTTTTGCTAAAGGGGAGGAAGTCATGTATGTAGTAAAGGCATAACAACAGGAGGGTTTTCCTGGATGAGATACCCGAGTAACTCGTGTTCGGGAGTAGTGGTGCACTGTAGGTGTACCGGGTGAATGAGAAACCTTGAAACGAGCGTGTTTGCTCTGAACACTCTAAATTGACTGGGTGTCCTTTTGCAATTCCTTTTCTATCATGTATCTTGGCCCTCCTATGCATAAAGAACCTGGGTATCTCTACAAAAGCAACTCATTGTTCTATCCACCATCTACCACCCTCATTTTAACGAGTGCCTCCCTCAAGCTATACCTCACTATCCTAACTTTCTCTGTCCTGCTTTCCTTCCATTATGACTATCATCTTCTATATGTTTATGGGAGCATACTCTCTGGAAAAGGCCTTGGGGATGGACTTGGCGAGAGCGATAACCTAGCTCCAATCGAGGGCGACCAATGTCCTCCTCCCCCATCCGAGCCAGATCCTGATGCTGAGCCTGGCCTTGGAGTAGGAGGCCTATCCGCGAATTGCATCTCGGCGAACTGATCATCTTCGAGGATGTAAATATTGGCAAGCTCGCCCTGCGAAAACTCGCCAGTCGACGCAAAACAAAACTTATCGCACATGATACGGCGAAAGTACGAAGTCTGGTGTCCCGCGCGACTCGCCGCCACGAGCACCGGCTCCAAATACAATCCGACCCGGGTACGCGGCGAGGTTCTGTTTGACCGGCCGCTCGCACCGATAGGCACCACAAATATGGTCTGCGGCGCTGGACTGCCACGGGGTCCGCCGCCGGTAGCAGGCGTCAAGCGCACAAGGCTGGCAGTAATGCAGAGGCCCATGTTGGTCATGCTGAACTCCCGAAACGGAGACGGCGGGAGCAACGCACGCTGGTGGACGTCGTGCGAGTGAGCAAAATCGGCGGGCGAGTCGGCGAGCAAGCCCGACGTTACAGTCCTGGATCGGCGTTCGCCCGTGTACGGGTCCACGAGCTGCTGCTGCGGATCCGCCCTCCACGCGAAAATAGTTTCGTCGGGAGATGTCCGTATGATCTCGTGTTGAAGACGTTGGAACGCGTGCTTGAGCCCTTCGCCGTATAACACGGGGATGTTGACGCCGAAGAGGCCCATGAGGCAGTAGGCTAGGTCTTCTGCGCGGGTGGTCTGGCGATTTGCTGCCCAGGACATGCGTTCTGCGACGGAATAGTCGCGCGGGTGGCGAGTTTTGGCGAGGACAGATTCAAAGATTCCTGTGATGGAGGAGAGGGCCTGGATAAAGGGGCGTTCATCGGTGTGGACGCCTTTGGTTCCGAGACGGGACCAGTCCGAGGTGTAGAAGATTGTCCGCCGGGGCGCGATGAGCTCCTGGAGTGTCCAACCGCGGGTGAACCACTTGGAAGAAGCGAGTGATGAGAGCCGATCCATGGGAGGGGAGGAGGATAGGGGCGGTACGTCGGCGAGGTAGACAAAGCAGACACGGGCGAGGAGGTAGTAGGTGTACATGGAGTTGATGGCTTCGGACAGCTCTGCGGAGGATGTTTTGTCTATACAGCAGGAATCGATCCAGGCCCACCCAATGTTGTGACGAAGTGCTTGAGTGCAGCATCCTTGAATCTTGATGAAGCCGGCTTTCTTGGATGCCAGGGGCAAATTTTGGATGTCTTGGAAGGTCACCTCATCGGATTCCCAAGTATGGGAGAGGATGGCGTAAGGGGGGACAGTACTGCCGATGATGAACATGCGCAGTTCGTAAGTGGTTGTATCGAGAAGCCACATATTGATGGCGATGTCTGTGGTGTCTTCCTCGTCCCTTCAATTTCGGTACCGAAGCCTTGTTATTATGGATGGTTTATCAGGCCAGGCAAGGCAACCAAATGTAAGTGCTGTAGAGGCGACGAGAGAGATGTACTACAGCCCGACAGCCTCGTACACCTTGGGCACAGTCTAGGGTGCTACCATGATGAGTTCGATGGACGCCTTGTTGCGTGATTTGGTGACAAACAAAGAGCCAGCAGAACGATTTGATAGCCGTCTTGGTCTGTTTTGAGTAAGGTAGTTAAAGCAGAAAAGGGCAAAACGTCACGAGATGGGAGCATATGGCTTGGTGATTCGAGGTGTGTAAGTCAAGTGCGGTGCGCAGGTGGACGCACAGGTGCCCCGCCAGCTCCCAAGTGACATCTGGGGGAGGGGCAGCTGACGACGGCCGCCAGCTGGTAGTAAGGGGAGCACAGATGGCGGCGGGTGGTGCTGAGTTGACGTTGAGCTACACTAGGGCCTATCACCCCTGGCAGCTGCACGTGCCTACATCGACCTTACGTAAGGTACCGGTACAAGCGCAGGGGAAAAGCACGCAACAACGGACCAAACAGAAACAAGAAGAGAAACATCAAAAGGACCCACTCTTGCAGGGCCCGGACCCCGACGGAAGGGCCGCCATCGGCGTCGGCAATGCCACTGCCGCACTTTCCCGGTTTGCTCTCCAGGGGTCCAGGCGGGCACAGGCGGGAAGTCCAGGGTGGGTGGGTGGATGTGGGTGACTGCCAAATGGGTGTGCTGGGTGGGTGTGTGACAGTGTGTGCGTGTGTCCATGCCGCCCTACGCCTTTGGGCCATCATCTCGGCCATACTTCTCGGCATACCCTTCCTTGCGCAGAAAAGTACCAAGAGTAGAATACCTTGGACGAAGAGTCGTTTTACAAATCTCTCTCTCCCTCGACAACTTCGACTATGATCCCTCAATAACACCTACCGTACTTCACAACCGAACCGAACCGAGCATGGCAACGACCACAACACTGTTCCGAGTGTTCTTGCGCCGTCAAACACCCGGAGCCCAAGGATTGCGAAATCGCTTGGCACAGCAGCAACAGCGCCGCGCCAACTCCAGTTCCGAAGCACCCAAGCCGAAGAGGGCAGAGGATCCTATTCCCGTGCCAAACACCATCACGACAATCCCATTATGGCAGCGTCTCGGGCCCTTGACCCGCGCCGGCGAGGGTTATGCCCGAGCCCAGCGCAAGAGGCCTCTGACGACGCAGTTCATCAGCTCCTTGGTCATCTACTTTTGCGCCGACCTCTCGGCCCAGAACATGAGCGGCAACGACTACAACCCGGAACGGACGATGCGCTCCCTGATCATTGGCGCCATTTCTTCCATTCCCAGTTATAAGTGGTAGGTTCGGTCGTCCTCGTTCTCATGCTCGTGCTCGTACTCGCAGCTCTCGTGTGGTTTTCGTCTATTCGAACAGCGACTGACGCAGTATTGTGTCCAATAGGTTCATCTTCCTCTCCCAAAACTTCAACTATGCCTCGCGGCTCCTCTCGCTGGCCACAAAGGTCGTGGTGAACCAGGTGTGCTTCACACCCATATTCAACTCGTACTTTTTCGGCATGCAGGCGTTCCTTGCTGGCGACAACTTTGACCAAATCATCGACCGCATCCGACAATGTGTGCCCGTGAGCATCGTCAACTCGTGCAAGCTGTGGCCTGCCGTGACGGCCTTCAGCTTCTCTTTCATCCCGATGGAATACCGCAGCGTCTTTTCGGGCGTGATTGCTGTCGGATGGCAGACATATCTCAGTTTCTTGAATAGACAGGCTGAGGTCGTCGAGGAGGCAGAGGAAATCCAAGAGAGATCGCATGCGGTGCCGGCCATCGCTGCTCACGAGAGTTCGGTAAAGATGGAGGCTTGAACTTTGACGACGTAGAGGAGAGGAGCGGAAAGCATAGATATCCTAGACATTCTTTGGCAGCATCATTTTCTTTTGTAGTGCATCGGGACGGCGTTGGGCTAGACGGAGACGGACCATAGAGACATGGACAACGTCATGATCTGATACGATTTTATTGTTAGAAAAAATACCTTAGACTTTGTACCGTGTTAGTCGACACTGTACTGGCACTGTACCCTCCGTGCCAAAAGTCCAATTCAAACTTCGCGCCCATTCCGTCTTCGGGCCCTTGACCTCGTCCAGATCACAACCCTCAACTCCTCCCCAACGCTGAGCCATTGAGTGCTGGCCAGGACCAGCAACTCTCCTCTGCAATGGCGTCCATCTGCATGCGATCCTGCCGCGTGCAGTCCGCCCTCCGATCCGCCAGAAATTCTACCACTGTTCGTCCCAGACTCCCTAGCAACATCCCTCGACGTCATGCCTCTACCGGCACCGGCTCCTCGACGGAATCCCAGGCCGGCTCGGGTCTGAAGACTGGCCTGTACAGCATTGCCCTCGCCGGGTCCCTCTACGTTTCCTATCTCTATGTAACCGATACGAGGGCCTCCATCCACGCATTGTCACCCATGTTGATGCGCTTTGCATGGAGCGACGCCGAGGACGCCCACCACGCCGGCACTGGCATGATGAAGACTCTCTACGATCTCGGCCTACACATCCGCGAACGCGACAGAACCCTCGCCGAACACCCTGCTCTTGCGACGGAAGTCTACGGCATGAAATTGTCCAACCCCATCGGTATCAGCGCCGGCCTCGATAAGCACGCCGACATCCCTGACGCCCTCTTCGCCCTCGGTGCCGGCATCGTTGAGGTTGGTGGCTGCACGCCCCGCCCGCAGGACGGCAACCCTCGCCCGCGTGTCTTCCGCGTTCCCAGTCTTGACGGCATGATCAACCGATACGGCCTCAACTCGCGGGGTGCCGATAGCATGGCCATCACACTGAGGGAGCGCGTGCGCAAGTTCGCTCGCAAGGTTGGCGCGACGGAGCAGGAGGTTCTGGACGGCGAGGCTGGTGTCCCTGCTGGCAGTTTGCTTCCCGGCAGATTGCTGGCTGTGCAGATTGCCAAGAACAAGGAGACGGACCAGAAGGACGTCAATGCCGTTGCTCAGGACTACGTTTACTGCGTGCAACGTCTTGCTAGGTATGCCGACATCCTGGTGGTCAACGTCAGCAGCCCCAACACCCCTGGTCTCCGCGATTTGCAGGCCACCGAGCCTCTGACGAGGCTGTTGAGTGCCGTGGTTCAGGAGGCTCGCAAGGTGGACCGCAAGGTTGCCCCCAAGGTCATGGTCAAGGTCTCCCCTGACGAGGAGGAGGATGCCCAAATCGAGGGCATCGTCCAGGCTGTCTGCAGCAGCGGTGTCGACGGTGTCATTGTAGGCAACACCACCAACCGTCGCACAGGCATCGTTCCCCAAGGTGTCAAGCTTACTGTCAAGGAGCAGAAGGCGCTGCAGGAGACGGGTGGGTACTCGGGACCCGCCATGTACAGCAGAACCCTGGATCTCGTCGGAAGATATCGCAAGAAGCTCGATGCCCAGACCCTCCAGACCGGCTCGGCCGAGGAGGCGGCTGCTATTCCTGATGTTGACGGCTCCCTCTCCGGCAAGCTCCACGATCTGATCGAGGGCAAGGATACGCCGAGAAAGGTCATCTTCGCGACAGGCGGCATCACAAATGGAGAGCAGGCGCTCAAGATCCTCAATGCGGGCGCCAGCGTGGCCATGGTGTACACTGGCTTGACGTACGGCGGACCGGGAACAATAACAAAGATAAAACGGGAGATTAAGGACCAGGCGTAGAATACCAACTTAACAAATAGAAGATTGACTGCTCAGTGCAGAATCATCCGGGCCCTTGACATCTGCTCTCATCGTATGAATCGAGTAGATCGATTGTACGGACCCCGAGAAAGCCAACCTAGCGACTCTTCAGGAGACTATCCCGAGAACTCAGCCGCCGCAAGCCACCATAATTCAACCAAATTATTTATGGAATCGCGCATCGTGAGTTCCTCTCCGCAACACAAGCTTGAAGAATATTTGATGTATTACTAATTTGAATGCCTTTGCGGCGTTGTGAATGAAGGAGAAAAGCAACTGCAAAACGCCCGACTCCGTATGACCTGGCAGCAATCGGTGCCTATCAAGCTATCCTTTCCTCCGTATAATCATATTCCACTGCCACCTCTTTTCCATGATGATGCCGTTGATGATTTCCTAGCAATGCAAACCGCCGATCCTCCTCTAGATGCTAGATTAAGACCGGATACTACGTCTACTCCTGGCCTGCGACGACGAACTCGGGCGCATTCTCAAAGCCGACAACGGTTACAGGCTGAAGCTGAGCAAGTTTCACCAGCTTCTCGCGGGCTGCCTCGTTGAGCTTGACCTCGCCATTTTTCTCCTCGCGAGGGCGCACCTCGATACCAGTGGGGTAAAGGTGCTCAATTTCGACGTCCTCGCCGAGATCAAAGAGCTCAGACTTTTCACGGAAGCACCAAGGACGGCCGTCCCTCATGACCAAGTCGTGCGTATCGCGGACGTCCTTGGCGTGCAGGGAACGGTACCCGCCGTCCAGGGAGACGGCGATGGAGCTGTGCCATGGGGTACGGGGGAAGCCGTCGGGGTTGTGCTTCTCGACCAGCAGCGGCATGGAGAGCTTGACGGCACCGCTGGAGGGGTGGATGGAGAGGCGGACGTGGTCGGGGCAGGTAGCGAGGATGATCTTTGTAAAGGACTCGGCGCGCATCATCATCTTCATGGCGACCTCCTTGACGACCTTGCGGTACTTGTGGCCCGAGGTAGCGTGAGCCGCGACGGGGCTGTTGCGAAGATCCGTCTCGAGGAAGCGGATAAAGCCGCGGTAGGTCATGAGCGTGTCGTTGTCCGTCTCCATGAGGGCGCGGACGTCCTTGTCCGGGTCGCCGAATTGAGCCTCGAGGGTCTTGCGGCTCTCGTCGACAAGCTCCATGTACTTTTCCTTGGTGAGGGGCTCGTTCTCGTTGGTGAGGCCGAGGAAGTCCATGACGCGGAGGAGCTTGATGCCATCGTAGCCCTTTTGCGCGGCCATGTCCATGAGAGTGGCGCCGTACTCCCAGGTCTCGTCGTCCGAGATGCCGACGACGTCTAATCGGCGAGTTAGCTATCGGACATACAAGTATGGCTATCCAGAAATGGAAGGGCTTACCGTTGAAGACCAAGCCATCAGTGGCGATGTGAACCTCGGCACCGTGGGTATAGACCTTGCCAATCTCAACGCAGAGGTCGTTGAGTCTTGCAAGTGCCAGATCCTCTCCAAGATCAGGGAGAACACCCGTCACCTTGTCGGTGCGGTTGATGCTCTTCCATGGGAAGGCGGGGATGATCATCTTGACTGACTCTCCCTTCTTGACGTACTCCTCAACACGGCCGTGGAACATCTTGCGTCCAAGCCACTCGTGGTTCTCCTGACCCTCGGGGATGATGTGTCTTCCAAATGCTTGGAGAACATCCAGAACTTTGTGAGCGACTTGCTCAGAAGACTGCTCGAGAGGAGGTGTGGGAAGTGTCTCTGTGATAGTAGGGGCATCTAAGTTCAGCGTGTTAGTTGGACGTCTCTCGAAGCCACATGATGGATGTATCTCACCTCCTTCAACGACATCGTCGATGACAGCATCGATGCTAGCATTTCTCAAAGGGCTATGGAAAGCACTGAAGGGACTTTTGGTTGCGCTCACAGGGCTCCTCAAAGTTTGTTCAGGAGGCTGCAGGTCGACGGGGTCAATTGGAGAACCGATTTCAAGGTCGGAGAACTCGACACGCATCTGCCTGAGAGGGCTGAGGGGGCTTCTCAAGTCTGAGACACTGAGGGGAGAGATGGAGCTGAGGGGGCTCTTGAGCTCCGAGCCAAGACTCGGGCGTCTGTAGGTCGGAGCACGGAGCTGGAGAACCGGTCTTGCCATGAGCTTCCCGGTGGAGGCTACCGGCTTCTTGGCGTCCGTGGGAGAAACGGGGACGGGATCTGCTGCGGAGATGGCCATTTTGATGATTTACTAAGGTATTGGAGAAGGAATTTGGGGAAGGTGAATGCCGGAAGACGATGGCAATGAACTCAAGGAGGAAGAAAGGAAATGTTGTTTGATTGTATTAGAGGAAGAGAATGATCTGGGTTGTAGATAATCGATATCAACCATGGCTGGTCTTGGAGATTCTTCTTATACTTGAGATTCACTTTAACCTGGAATAGGTAGGGACCTCCTCAGAGAATGCCATCTGGATATCTCGTAGTATTCCGCATGCATTCAGGACGCTACTCGGAAACTTTCCCATTGTCGAAGCCCAGGCTTGAATCGCAGTGCACTGTGGCGTCTAGGCTGAGCTACCACAAGCCAAGGCTGGAGTCTGGCCATGGATATGCATCGTTACATGGAGTGGCCATGTCTGCATGCACCTGCAGAGCGGCCGAGGGTACGCGTTGCCTTTCTCAATGGTCTAACTACGTTTACCTGACTTGACTCAAAATAAGCACACCTGATGGTCCCAATCTGGAGGCAAAAGGCATTGTCTTACCTCGTGTCGGCGATGAGACTAGGTCAACACCGGCTATACCGGCATCATGGGCACGAATCCTTAGCTTTACCCACTGCCCGCGCGTGCGTCCCCTGATTTTCATGATTGCCAAGAACAGATGGGAACTTGGTGGTATCCAAGAATCTTGTGGAGACACCTCCCACGTTCGGAGGCTTTTGGAACGTAACACGACCTAGCCCTAACCGTGTCGTTTGGCTGGAGAGGCTTGACTTGGCTGTCGGCTACTAGGCCCAGAGCAGGTCAGCCAATGGATTGACACGTCTGGATTAGTCCTGGTCTCAGTGCTTGAGCTAAGCCCATCCGATTTTAGGTTCGTGAAGCTGGGAAAATGATCCATCACCATTGTGTCTTGAACTTGTTGGTTCACCCGTCGCATTCCGGTCATCACTGTTGTGTGTCCTAGTCAGCCAGGCTGAGCTGGTATCGCCGGCGTCGTGAACGAGGCGCTGGTCTGGTAAACTCAATTACATGCCGTATCCGGAGACTTTGGGTAGCTATTTTCGATTTGCCGTAAAAGAACCAATGGCTCGGTATAGCATTCTGCGTCTTGGGCATCTCGATTTCCTTTTGTCGACATGATAACCCCTCGTTTTCTGTTGTAGTTGATCCACAATCGAAAGTTTGGCATTCATTCCTCGAATTGCTTCCCATTCTTCGGTAACTTTACTGAACCAACTAGCTTCAAGTTGCTTACATTTTGGATCATCATGATGGAGAAAGATCTCCCAACTCTGCCCATCGTCCAAAGCGTGCAATACGATGAGCACCATCAACTGGCACCTTCCGAGCACCACGCCCACGCCCACACCACAACCTACAACCACAACCAAGTAATCATGTCGAACAACGACGAGCATCATGTCCGACCCCAAAGCCAGAGTCTTTCCGAAGGCCAACAACGATCACTACAGGCAGACGAAGAAAAGGCTGAACTAGTTCCTCCCATTATTGACGGGCCAGACGGAGGCTTCCAAGGCTGGCTTCAAGTCCTCGTCGCATTTCTGCTCGTATTAGACGGCTTCGGTTTCATCACTGCCTTTGGTGTTTTCCAGGCATCATACGTCAAGATTTTACCGGACAGTTCAACCTCCGACATCTCATGGATCGGTTCGATGCAAATATTCCTCCTTTTTCTCCTAGGAACCCTGAGTGGCAGGCTCATCGACGCCGGCCACTTCAGAATTACCTTGATCACCGGCATCGTCTTCCAAGTTGGAGGCATCTTTGGGGCCTCATTCTCCAGCAAATACTGGCACTTTTTGCTGTCACAAGGCATCGCCACGGGTATCGGCAACGGGATGCACTTCACCGCGCTCGTCTGGCTGGTCTCGCAATACTTCACAAAGAGGCGGGGTCTAGCGCTCGGGATCAGTTCCTGCGGTGCTCCCATCGGTGCCGTCATCTTCACCATCATCGCTCGTGAGATGATCCCGAGAGCGGGAATCCAGTGGACGCTTCGCACTATGGGTTTCTTGGTTCTTGCTGACAGCATCGTCATTTACCTCATTGCGCGACCCAAACCTGCGACCCGCAAGGGTGGTCCCTTGCTCGAACTGTCAGCATTCAAGGAACTGCCGTATCTCTTGTTCACCGTTGGCATGTTCTTCGCCTTGCTGGGCGTCTACTTCGCATATTATTATGTACGTATCTTCACCGATTGTCTCTTGCTATCTTCATCAGAAATGATAGACTGACATCTTCCTCACCAGGTCCCCCTTTTCAGTCGCAACAAGCTCGGGCTCGATGACAGCGGAGCCTTGACTGTCCTCATCGTCATGTCGGCCGTGGGCATCATTGGTCGACTTGTACCCCCATACCTTGCTGACAAGAGCATCAAACCTCTCAGAACACTCGTTATATCACTGCTTTTGAGTAGCCTCAACGTCTTTGCCTGGATCGCCGTGAGCTCCATGGCTGGACTCTACGCTTGGGTCATTGCGTACGCCTTTACCGCAAACGCAGTGCAGACGCTCTTCACGGCATCCATGGGCGAGGTCACCTCGGACATGTCGAAGCTCGGGGTACGCATCGGCATGGTCTTCACCATTGTTAGTTTTGCTTGTCTTGCTGGTCCACCCATTGGCGGAAGTCTTGTTGGGCTAAATCACGGCGATTTTCTCTATGCGCAACTATTTGCTGGCGCTTCCATGCTGCTGGGTGGTCTTTTGGTTGCACTTGCGAAGATCAAGCAGGTTGGACAGAAGGGCTTCTGGCGGATTTAAGATTCTCAT